TGCTAGAAAGAAAGGAAATAGGGAACATTTTTTAAAGCACCGTATTCACCCTGGGGTCATTGGTTTTAGGGCCAGAAGGACACTCCTTTACCCCGTGTCTCATAATCATGAAGAGTTTTGTTATATTGAAAAGAGCATGGTAATTGCTATTTATAATGAGGACTGTAACTTATAAAAGAGTAAATTGTGAATTATGTGTACTTCAAAGAAAATAAGAATGAACTAATTGAAACAATTATTTAGATAATATAGAAAATTAGGATAAGCAAAACCAATTTATTTCTTGAGTTCTGGATAGTTGTGATTTGTTAGTATATGAATATTTAGTCCTGGAATTATGAACCAATATAGTGGATGCTTGATTTTTAATGTTTTAGTAAGTACATCTTTAATTCTTTGACCTCAAACCTCCCAGTTATCTAGATTAGTATTTCAAAAATTAATTTTATAATGATGTATTCTCTTCTGTTGCTGTTCAGTAAATCTTTTATAAATAGAATAATATGCATTTAAATTTGTGAATTCCATCTTCTCTATCAGCATTAATTTTTCAATAGTCTAATTTAGGTCTTTTTATTTTAAATGTTACATACTCAGATTTTAATTTTAGGGAGTTTTCTCTAAATTTAGAGAACTGAGAACATATAGTTATTATACTACATTAATTTTTATAACCTATATCTGAAAAGCAATTTTTAAAGAAATCTGAGAAAATTTTAAAATCATGGGAAAATGTAATCTTTTTGCTTTTTTAAAAAATACTTTGGCTCCGGCAGTGGTGCACACCTGTAATCCCAGTAGCTCAGGAGGCTGAGGCAGGAGGATCACAACGTCAAAACCAGCCTCAACAATTTAGTGATGCCCTAAGCCACTTAGCAAAACCCTTTCTCAAAATTAAAAATAAAAACCAGCTGGGGATGTGGCCCAGTGGTTAAGTGCCCCTGGGTTCAATTCCTGGTATCAAAAAAATAAAAATACTTTGGAGACTCTTTTTGACTCTTTTGTATGGTACCTCCTAAATAGTGTACATCATAAAATTCAAACTCTCCAACATGGTTTTAGTATCTGTCCCCTACCTGCCTTTCACCCCTCCTTCCTTGTCACATACCCCACCTGTTTCCATGAACTTTAGACTCAAGTAGTTAAAAAAAATAGTTTATATTGCTAGTAACAGGCTGCATTCTTCTTTATGGTTTGTGACTGCACACTCAACTCTGGCAGCCATCTCGCTTGCCCTCCAGATCTAGCATTCCCACATTCAAGCCACTCCTGCCCTGTAAAATTCTGTAATCTGTAATGTTGTACTGAAACTTTACGCTCTGAAGCTACCCCTAACCTACTCAGGCTTTTCCATAATTCATATTCTATCTTGTAACAGTTACCACATGGTTAAAATTGTTTCCAGTAAACCATGAGTCTCTAAACAACAGAAAAGAACATATCTTCTTTACCTTTAATATTATACTTAGCCTAGAGCCTGGCATAAGTGGTCCTTCTCAAAAAGAGATGGAGGGAGTAGGATGCAAAAGGAGAGAAGAGATTCCTCACACCAAGCTGTAGCTAGCTGTACTATTTAGGAACCTGGGAAACTGGAAGCAGCTGTAAAAGCATCATGTCTGAGCCACTCTATATTTACTATTCCAGGCCTGTGTGCAAACCTTGCATGACCAGTGCTACCTTCAAGTACTAACATCTGAAACCAACATTGCTTTATGCAGCTCCTTCACTAGCATCCCCTAGTGAAAGAACCCAGCCTCTTTTTCCTATCTCCACCTGGTGCTAGCTCTGAATAATTCATAATAGCTTTAAAAGATAATGTTGATATTCAGGTTTGTTAATAATATTTAGTATTTATTGAGTGCTTACTCTGTGCTGATGAAAAACACAATATGATAAATGTGTTTTTCATATTACCTCACCTAATCCTCAGTGGTCCAGTGAAGTAGATGCTTATTATCTCAATTTAACAAGTGGAGGATGAGTTTCAATAAAATGAACTAAACCTCCCAGTGCCACACTGCAATTAACTAAGGAAACTAAAATTTGAATCTAGTGAAATTTAGGGCCCATTCTCTTATTTACCACCATTGATTTACCCAGCCATAACTAAACTCCAGATAGTATCATGGTTATAGTAGATGCTTTAAACTCATCCAGACATGGATTCAAAGTCTATTTTCCGGTGGCAAATAATTTCATTTCACTCACCTTCAATTTCCTCATAAGTAAAATGGTAATATCCCTAAAAGGGGTATTACCTGACTAAGTGCATGGTACATACTAAATAATAAAATGTTAGGGATTGTAGCTTAATGTTAGAGAGTTTGGCTAGTATGCATGCGGCCCTGGGTTCAAAAAAAGTTAGCTCTATTTGCCTTTTCTATATTTATGTATGCAAGCTCTGAGGTAATGGTTTGTACAATGTAAGGCTTGGCACAAGAAGGCAAATAACCATTAGACAAGTAAGAAATTTAATATACTCTGTCTTTTACATAATTATTTCCATAATGACCAACAGTGCTTGCCTTTTGTGATCTCCAAATGTTTTATAGCTGTGATCGTATTTATTCTCTTTATGAAAAGGGTACATCTTGAGTATTTAAGACCTTTACGATGTTAGGGTAGAAAATCAAGTACTCATGGTTATTATGTGGAAAATTCAGGTTGCAATTCATTTTCACTATTAAATTAATATTCATAGTGCTGTGAAAGGTATTATGATGACAAATATGCTATAGTAGAATAAAATCAATAATCTATCCTAGATAAAAAACAGGTGAGACTCTCTGGGTATGAAATAGTTGCCCCAGTAGTTCTATAACATAAACTTCTTAGCACTATTCAACAAAGAAAACCATAAACACAGCTGCTATTTTGGTGTGGCTTGTGGTTTGGGATTTGTTTTTTATTTGAACTTCTTTATGCAGGCAGATCATCATTTAAAAGTAGTCATTTGGCATTTTCCCTTGCATTCTTGAAATTTTTTATGTTTTAAAAAGCTTAGTTCAAGTCTCTTCTGAAATTGTGCACACAGATTGATCCATCTGGTCTTTTTACTAACCAGTGAGGTTTCTTTAATTTAAGAGGAAATTATTATAAAAATCCTGTCACTTCACTGGATTTTTTGTGTAAGTTTGAAGAAGAATATTTTCAACGATCAAAAAATAATTTTCTTATATTCATCATTGTCTTTTCAGTTAATCTTGCTTAACAGAGGTGGGAAGACAGCTAGAAAGTTCTGCTATTCCAACTCCTCACCCCCTTCATCTTATTCATGTTACAACTTTGAAACATATCATAATTACTTGTTTGCAAGTGAATATTGGCATAGCTGAAATGGCTGATCAAATTAGGGACTATTGCTCTCTTTAGATTACACTGACTGTGAGGAGGAAGATGGATTGTAGGAGTGAACAAAAATGCACATAGACCCTTGCTGTGATCCAGACAAGAAATAGTGGTGGCCCAACCCAGGGTACTCAGAATGGTAATGAAGAAATATAGACAAATTAAAGAGAATTTATTGATGGGTTAGATATTAATAGGTATGGTATTGGGGAGTCAGGGATTGCAGGTTTCTGGATTGCATTATCCTTCTCAATGCTTTTTCATTTTGTTTGCCCAACTCCTGCTTATCCCTAAAGAATTTAGTTCATGTGTTACTTTCTGTGAGAGTGCTTCCTGCCCCAACCTCCATTGAGTTGAACGACCACACTGTGTTTTTATACAATCTGGCACTTCTCCGTGATAGCATGTATTCTGTTGTGTAACTATGAGTTTACCCCACAGACAACATACACATAACCTTTATACTCTTGACTTTGGTTATCTCTTGCTTGACTTTTGTTGTACCCTTATAGTTTAACTTACCTAATAAAGGAAAACATAAATATAAACAGCAAGAAATAAACTTAAGTTTTGTGGGTTTTGATTATCTCTCTCAAAAGAACCCTAAGATTGTTGAAGTCTAAGAATATAAGGGCCTTCAAGTTATAATAGCACTTAATAGTTTTTAAAATCATACGAGTTCTTCACACAGGTGGTAGGAACTGACAGAGTCATGGGTCATAGAATAATTCATTTCAATCAGAGAGAAGTATTAGGACTGAGATATTTGGGAAAGTGTGTGCATCATTGCAAATTCATCATCATACTTCAAGGAAAATAAATTGATTATACTTTATTGGGAATATATACCTATATCATACTTTAAAAAATAGAATGGTATATCACCTAGACAAGAATCAGTGCTCTCTAGTAAAAAGGAAGAAATTACAGATTGATTTAAAAAAGAAAGAGAGCTGGGTGGGCATGGTGGCCTCAGAAGGCAGAGGCAAGAGGATTGCCAGTTGGAGGCCACCCTCATCAATTTAGCAACACACTGTCTCAAAAAGGACTAAGAATGTAGCTCTATGGTAGAACACCCCTGAGTTCAATCCCCAGGTTGGGGGAGGAAGGAGGGACAAAGAGAGAAAAGAAGAAAGAAAGACCATATAATTTTTTATTACTGCAGATTGAGGTCTGTAAGAGTGGGAAAAGGAAAAGAATTTGACTTCTGTAGGCTTTACTTACTTTTTTAAAGTTAGAGCAATGGATCTATGACCTAAAAAAAAAAGATTCTTTCTGGTCCAAATTCTGATGTTCCATAAAATAACACCAAGTGATAAAGGTGTTAATAGGTGATGGGAATTTGGGCTTGAATTACAACTTACTTTGCATTCTTCCCATGGCCTCAACACTGTCCTCCTCAAATATAATGTTTTTTAAATGACTTTATTAGATTTAACTAAATACAAGTGGTTTTTATGACTTCTGTTGAAATCTGTTCTTTAAGCCCTAATTTAGGGCAACAGTCTTGATTAAAATATTTAAGATTAATTAATACTTTACCTATTCAGTTCAATCTATAAAAAATGTGAATTTTTGCATTTAGCAATACTGTAACAGTATTTCTCTACAGTTGTTTCTCTTTTAACAGAAGTTTTCCTTCTTTCATTTAGGTTTTTGCTTTGGAACAGCCATACATCTAATTTCTTAAAGTAGTTTTATATGTAAAACTTGTAAAGGATCATAACAATGCCTCCACGACCATCATCAGGTGAACTGTGGGGCATCCACTTGATGCCCCCAAGAATCCTAGTAGAATGTTTACTACCAAATGGAATGATAGTGACTTTAGAATGCCTCCGTGAGGCTACATTAATAACTATAAAGCATGAACTATTTAAAGAAGCAAGAAAATACCCTCTCTATCAACTTCTTCAAGATGAATCTTCTTACATTTTCGTAAGTGTTACCCAAGAAGCAGAAAGGGAAGAATTTTTTGATGAAACAAGACGACTTTGTGACCTTCGGCTTTTTCAACCCTTTTTAAAAGTTATTGAACCAGTAGGCAACCGTGAAGAAAAGATCCTCAATCGAGAAATTGGTATGGTATAATTTTCAACTAGATGGCATTGTCATCCTATTCTAAAATGCAAATAACTGTGGAGCCTAACCATTGTATCATTATTGAAATATCTTTGTCTGAACCAGTATCTGTATAATCTTAAATAAATAGCTTTCTCTATAAAAAAAATCTTTTAAAATCTGAAGTATTTTTGACTATTGAGCTATAGAACTATTTTTAACACCTTGATATTCTTTAAAGTTTTATTTATGAAATACCATTTATAGGAGGACTTAAGATTTGTTATATCCCAGTACAGTATTGTGTTGTTTTTCTAAAATAATTGGCATAGATATCAATATATTTATATGTATGCATATATATATAATATATTTATATATTAAAAACATTAGGGATTTTATTGGCTATTGCTTTATGTATTCATCACAGATTTTTTTTAACCAAGACAAATTCAATTCTTTTGTGACTTTTCTAATCTATATAGTCCCTGTTTGTAAGAAACCTGTTTATACTGTGTGCTTAATAAAATGTTGCATCCTTTATATAATATTTCCAAGGTTTTGTTATCGGTATGCCAGTGTGTGAATTTGATATGGTTAAAGATCCAGAAGTACAGGACTTCCGAAGAAATATTCTGAATGTTTGTAAAGAAGCTGTGGATCTTAGGGATCTCAATTCACCTCATAGTAGAGCAATGTATGTGTATCCTCCAAATGTGGAATCTTCACCAGAACTGCCAAAGCACATATATAATAAATTAGATAAAGGTAAGATAATTTTTGGTCTACTGTAATTGTTACTAGAGCTAAATCTTCTACCGATGTCTTTATTTCTTCTATACAGTCCTTTTTTTTTTTTTTTTTAAACCTAGTTAGATAATAAACTTCTTGAAGGAAGGGATTTCTTGTACTGACAAGATATACTTGAGTACTAAATATATAACTTGTGTACAGTAAAAATTTATTGATTGAATGAATTGTATGGATATGATGCTGATCTGTTGGTGAATTTTCATCTCATTGAAACTGAAGAACTTTGAATTTTATATTCACTGTTTTTTAGAGTACTAACAGAATTAGAGCTGATTATCTTTTGATAGATAAAAGCAGGTATAACTAGAAACTTAATAAAAAAAACTTTACACATTCTCATCATCATGTATTATATATACAAAGAAAAAAATTTAATATGAAGCACAATAATTAAGTCTGATCATAGTGATTGATAGGTGTACTGGACATTTAATGAACCCGTTTCTAGAATTAAGTGAACATGAAAATATGCAAGCTGTTTTAGAAATAAGTATTCTATCAGATAAATAATTGTTTTTCAAGGTAACAAAGTAAAAGTTAAGTTTGAAGTCATAGAATACCTTGCATGCTTTTATTAATGTAAAATTCTATTAGTAGAGTTAATTTAAGACATCTTATTTCTGTCTCACCCATATTATTCAAAGTAGTTTATTGCAGTGTAGCATAAGATCTTTCAAAATTCTTTTCTCCTGTAGCAAACTTTGTAAAATAGAGTGCTCTTTTCACTTGAAAATTTTCACCATATAGGAGAGTTGAAAAGTTGGACTCCGAACATAGCTCTCATATTTTTAATCTTTCCATTTTCACATATTTTTCGGGGGGTAGGAGAGTACCTCCTGACTTAACTTTATCTTACGATCTTTCCTCCCTTATCTTTTCCAACACTCTAATTCAGCATCTATAAGTCAGTTGTGCCATTCTTTCTTTACTTCCCATAGTCTTTCACTTTAGGAACTATTCTTCACAGGGATTGAACCCTTGTCAGGCAGTTTAAAATATAAATTACCTTAGACTTCGGTACTTGTGACCCAGTAGTTCCCGCTTTGCATGCTTGCTTTGAACAGAAGTCATGATCCTGGTCTGGCAACCTGATCATACATGAACATTTTTTTGTTTCTAACAGATATTTACCTGTATTTAATTAGAATGATTAGAAATCATATATGATTATGTTTAGAGTAATGGATAGTACATACTTGAAATTTGTCTCTTGAAAAATGAAATAGACATGATGATTGCATCTAATAATGTTTTCCTGTTACAGGACAAATAATAGTGGTGATTTGGGTAATAGTTTCGCCAAATAATGACAAGCAGAAGTATACTCTAAAAATCAACCATGACTGTGTGCCAGAACAAGTAATTGCTGAGGCAATCAGGAAAAAAACTCGAAGTATGTTGCTATCCTCTGAGCAACTAAAACTCTGTGTTTTAGAATATCAGGGCAAATATATTTTAAAAGTGTGTGGATGTGATGAATACTTTCTAGAAAAATATCCTCTGAGTCAGTATAAGGTGAGTAACAAGTTTCAAAAATATTGATTTTAAATTTAAAAAGTAATCACAGAAGAATTGGCTTCTTCTTTTTTTAAAGGCATACCTCTTGAAAATTAGATAATAATAAATATTGGAAAATATCATTTGTAAGTTTAATTTTTATACTATAATTATTTAACAGAATGAAAATTTTGGTGGTTACCTGACCTCAAAATATGAAGTATTTTATAATTTTTATCCTCTCCCAAGTAATGGCAGTAGAATATAATTAAAATAGATATTTCGGGAAAATAATTCCATGATCTACTATTAAGATGTATTAGTAATATGTCCCTACCCTTTCTGTTTATTAAGAAATAACTAGAGAAGCACATACCAAGTACTGATTTATAGTCCCAAGCAAAACATGGTTCTAGCCTTCAAGTTACTTATGGTCTAGTGGGGATTATAAGTAAGAAAATAGGCTATTATAATATGTGTACCATAGCATTTATATTAAAAATTTCTATCCTAACTACCATTTCAATTTAGTATCCTACTAATATTTGGGAGTTAGGTGCTACAACCTAACTGCATTTAATTCCCCAATGTTAATATTTTAAATGTTACAAATAAGTAACTGGAAAGAAATGTGGTCTACAATGTTTGATTTTTTTAATCACTTTTGCAAATCAGTATGTAAATTCTCATAATACTCTTGCATATTGCTTTTAAAATGGAAAACCTTACAGGAAATGGCTTCTTTCCTCTTTTCTTAATCTCTTACAGTACATAAGAAGCTGTATAATGCTTGGGAGGATGCCCAATTTGATGCTGATGGCTAAAGAAAGCCTGTACTCTCAACTGCCAATGGACTGTTTTACAATGCCATCTTATTCTAGACGCATCTCCACAGCTACACCATATATGAATGGAGAAACATCTACCAAATCCCTTTGGGTTATAAATAGCGCACTCAGAATAAAAATTCTTTGTGCAACCTATGTAAATGTAAATATTCGAGACATTGATAAGGTAAGGTCAAAGGCTGATGTTATTATTTTATACAAGTAATTTTATATAAAGTTTTTTATTGAACTATACAAATAGCCTGTTGACCTACAGTATGTTTTCAGATGACTAGAGGAAAAAAAACACTCAAATCTCAGAAAATAAAAATATATAATGAATTCTGTTTGAGTTTCCATCTACTCAGTTTTTGCATATCTCTCAGTCCTAAGTCTATAATTCTAAAATTGATAATTCTGAATTCTTAAAACCAAAAGTTTTATAGAACTAGTTTAGCAATAAAATTTAATCCAACCTAAAGTAAATCTTCTTATAGTCACTATTAATCCCACTTAGTGCCTAGTGTGGTAATTAACATATGGCTGCAATCCCAGTAACTTTAGATGCTGAGGCAAGAGGATTGTAAGTTCAAGGCCAGCCTCAGCAATTTAGTGAGACCCTGTCTCAAAATAAAAATACGTAAATAGCAACCATCAAAGATGTAGCTCCATGGTAAAATGCCCCCGAGTTTAATCTCCAGTACCAAAATGATCTCACTTTGTGTGAATATTCATGTGGTTTATTACAAAACATGTCTTTATAGGGTGCTGCTCCAGCTACCAAAGGTTTTAAGAAATACCTAATGGATACACCAATTTCTCTTTCTAAAGTACAACAACTCTGAATTAACATATCTAGCTAAAAGTGACTATGGGTCTTAGTAGCCTGATGTCTCCATCATTATTAATGGATGAAAACAACAGCAAACTTTGATCAATCTGTATTAGTATTAATTTCTACATGTGAAGAAAAGGAGAACAGAAAAGCTTTATCTGAATACAAATTTTTATACATACTTATTTTCTTCCCCCCCTCCCCCACAGATTTATGTTAGAACAGGTATCTACCATGGAGGAGAACCCTTATGTGACAATGTGAACACTCAGAGAGTTCCTTGTTCCAATCCCAGGTAAGGGAATATTTGTGTATATTTCCAAAGTCACAATAGTATTTAGCAAGGTGATCAATAAAGTGAAATATTTTACATCATTAGTTTTATGCAAATAGTATCAATTGAATATATACATACAGAACATAAAGACTTTTTGTCAAATGAGTATCGCTTATAGGATCACTTTATTGATTCTAAAATTTCAGTCAAAGGAATTTTCTGATTTTCTTTTCCCATTGTTTCAAGGAGAAAACAGAATATGATTACTGTTAAGTCCTGATGATTCTCCACATTAGATCAAAAACTCAGCATTTTATTTTCTTATCTCCTTTGCCATTTATGAGAAGAAATGAGAGTTGGCAAATAATTCCAGAGCCAGAATACTCTGAGGCAGTTTTCTTCAGATCAGTCCTAAGAATAGATATTTATGCATTCAGTTAAAGGGTCTTTGAGAACAAACCAGTTTCTTAAAGGGAGAGTTATTGGAAATATTTTAAATTATTAGTGCCAAGATGTATTGAAGAAATAAAAGGTAGTATAGTTTAAAAGCTTATCATCCTTTTATTTGTCTGTTTTATAGAGTTTGGAAATAACAGTGTACCCCTAAATATAATAGTAGTAATATTTTAAGAGAACTCAAATTGGCACTGAAGACAGATTAAAGAGGATATTATAGAATAGCAATAGCACTAGCAAGTAACTACTCCAGAAGTACATCTCATAATGAGTTTAGACTTGAGTTCTAGAAAAATAAAAGAGAAAATTCCAATCTTGTAATTAAGTAATCTTTAAAAGCCCAGGTGACATTTAAAGAGATAGTAGTCATCTTTACTAGAGGGAATAGATGTAGTTCCTCACCCTACCTGGACTATTATAGTCAAAAAATACATTATTCAGGTTAGAAGGTACACTGTAGCAACAGACACCACAGGATCTTTACAAATTTCTGCTACAACAGTAGTTAATTTCCTATACATACTGCATGTCTGTCACAGGTTGGATGGAATTGTTATGAGAATAGAAAAATAGTGTTTTGAGGAAATAATGGCCAGAATATTTCCAAATTTGGTGAAAACTGTTAAATTTACCCATCTAAAGAGCTCAACAAGCTCCAAGCAAAGACCCCTAAATACAGTAACCCAAGGTACATTTATCCTAGTTATTTCAAGTACCAAAAATAAAGGTTAGTAAAATTAAAGGCAGGTTTACTTAATATAATATGATTAAAATGTTGAAATTTTAGCAAATTAAAGTAGGTATTTAGAAAGGGCTATATTTGATTATCTTTTCTTCAAGAATTCTCTAGTCTAAAAGGTAAAATCCCAATGGAAGTACTGAGAAATTTTAAGTAAAAATTTTTTTAACTTTTTTGTTTACAAAAACAAAAAAAGCAGAGGTATATGAACTTATTAGAAAGCAGATACTTAATGATTTCTTCATAAACGTACTAGTTATCCCTCAAAATTAGAATCAATTTAGACTGTATATATAAAACCATTTTCTAAAAATAAAGAAAGTGATTTGTATGTATTGAATTTGGTTTATGTGTGTTGTGGAACGGATGGACTCTAGAAGAATAGAAAAATGTATTTTATTCTATTAGCATAGTGCTAAAACTAGATTTCGAGGCCATAACTCTCTTAGAAAATGTATAGAATACTCCCCATTAATTTATGAGCAATTCTAGGAATTTAGAAGTGATAAAAAAATCATATGTGAATTTAAGTAGATATGCCTTTAATTTTTCTTAAATATTATGGACTTTCTAAGTCCCACATTTCTTCTTCCTGTATTTCTGTAGTAGTATGTATGTATGTATGTATGTATGTATGTATGTATTTATTTGCCTTTAGAATTCTTGCATTTTAAATGTAAGTCTTCTACTATAAATGGATGATTTTGGTGGGGAGCGGGTACTGAGGCTTTGACCCAGGGATGTCTACCACTGAGCTACATTCCCCAGCCCTTCTTATATTTTTATTTTGAGATAGAATCTTCACTAAGTTGCTTAGGGCCAGCCTCAAACTTGCAGACCTCCTGCCTCAGCCTATCTAGCACCTGAACTTTTATCATGGACCAATGTGCTGTTTTAATCCCTTCATTCAAATTATGTCATTTAATTTTATTAGATAGATACTATTATTGGTTTCATTTCACAGATAAGGCAAAAAACAAGGCTCACACATTCGGTGGAACAGTAGAAATAAGGTCGTCTTCTAGGCAGTCTTGATTTTCAAGTACATATACTTTCCCCATTGCTTTTAAAATATTTTTTTTTTAAATCTACTTATTATACATGGGTCTTTACAAAAATGTTTACCAAATATAGACATAATTTCATTCATAACATCCAGTAAATTAAGAGAATTTGTTTTGAGTCATTTTTACCTTGTTATTTTTTATAGTGGTTTTTTCTTTCCATTTTATGAATATTAAGTTTTATTACTTCTTGTGAAATTATTATTTTAAAATTCAAATATGTTCTTCTCTGTATTCTTCATCTTATTTATATACTGACTTATTTAGACCAGTAGGTTATTTTGTATAAAACTACATTATGCATAAAAGTAATTAAATACAACTATAATCATACTAATAAATTCTTGTTTTGTCTAATTTCTTTCTATTTGATTTTTACAAGCAAAACTTGGATTTTTTACTGAAGTATAGCACATAAACATGCATGAAAGTATACAAATCAGAATTGTGTAGTTCAATGAATTATCATACTATAAATATCATATTCACTATACTGGTCAAAAAAACAAAACATTTACTAGCACCTGAGAAACCCTTCCTCAATATATTTATTGACTTTCTATCCTTCCCAAAGGTAACCTTGACTTCCCTGACTTCTACCAATTTAGGGTTAGTTTTGCTTATTTTCCAGTTTTGTATAAGTGCTATTCTTTTGTGTCTAGCTTCTCTTACCCATTAATTGTAGGATTTCATCCATTTTGTTCGTAACTGTTGTTCCATTTTTTTAATGCCATATAATATTCTATTATGTGAATATAAAAATTTATTCTACTGTAAAAACATTTGGGTTATTTGCAGTTTGAGTATTATAAATTATTTTTCTGTAAACATTCTGTGCACAAATAGACACATTTCTATGGTTTCATTCTTAGAAGTAGAAATGGTTCATTGGGTGTATGTATGTTCACTATTAATAGATTATGCTTTCAAACTTGGTTGTAGCAAATTTTACCCCAACTCTTAGTATGTAGGATTTCTTATTAGTACTTCACCATCCCATAGTATCATGAGTCTTCATAGTTTTAGGCATTCTCATGTATAATGATGTCTCCATAAGATTTTAGTTTTCACTTTGTGTATGACAAATAATATTGACTACTTTTTCATGTTTATTGGCCATTTAAATATAATCTCACAGAGTGCCTATTCCAATCACTTTCCTATTTTTTGTTTGGTTTTTCTTTTTCTTGATGCTCTGTAGGAGTCATTTATATATTTTGGATAAAACTTTTTGGTAAATTTTATTTTTCTTTAAAATTTTACAAAGGTGGAATGAATGGCTGAATTATGATATATACATTCCTGATCTTCCTCGTGCTGCTCGACTTTGCCTTTCCATTTGCTCTGTTAAAGGCCGAAAGGGTGCTAAAGAGGTAAAGTATTTCAGAAGGAACAATTAATTATGTTTACCTCCAAAAGCTCCTAATTATACCTCTGATGGAATAACATTATATAAAATTAGAATTTTTCATTTTTAAAAAATCAATAAATCAAACCTATTGTAAGACATTAATAAATGGATCATAGAAAAATAACTTGGGGTTCCTGCAGTGGCGGGAGGGAGCCCTGTGGAGGCACCCTCCCGAGGCACCACTGCCCATGCTGACCACCCAGCCCTCCTGCTGCTGATGTCATGAGTAATACCACAGTGCCCAATGCTCCCCAGGCCAACAGTGACTCCATGGTGGGCTATGTGTTGGGGCCTTTCTTCCTCATCACCCTGGTCGGGGTGGTGGTGGCTGTGGTAATGTATGTGCAGAAGAAAAAGCGGGTGGACCGGCTCCGCCATCACCTGCTACCCATGTACAGCTACAACCCTGCTGAGGAGCTGCACGAGGCTGAGCAGGAGCTCCTCTCTGACGTGGGAGACCCTAAGGTTGTACATGGCTGGCAGAGTGGCTACCAGCACAAGCGGATGCCCTTGCTTGATGTCAAGACATGACCTGGTTCCAGGCCCTGACCTCCAGCCTTGAGAGTCCTGCAGGCTCCTGTGGTCTTCACCCCACCCCACTGCTCCATCATCTTGCTCCCTTTAGACCCTCTGCCCTTTGTGGGCTGACCCCACCCACCCCCAGGCACTGACAGATCTCATTTTGGGGGTACTGTGGCTGGGAACAGCTTTGCTTTCTCTAACCTGCCTGAACTGGGCCTTGGCACAAACCCCCAGGAGGGATTTGGAATTGTTTCCATGGTTACAGGACCCACATGTATAGTATTCAGTATATATATTTTGTAAATAAAATGTTTTGTGGCTAGGGGAAAAAAAAAAAATAACTTGGGAGAGCTTTAGAAATTTATTTATGATGGATAAATATATCCTGAGTTCATATTGATATAATTTTTAAATACACAAAGTGACTAAATAATAGTGACTGAATCCAAATAATTGTATCATGCCTCCTGGATCATATTTCCTATTTATAATTTTTAAAAACATAATTTCAGTGGGAAAGGAGGAAATAAAACACAAATGGGAAAAAGGAAAGAAATTGCTTAAATTTTGAAAAAACAATATGATTTTCATATTTCTGTTATAGAGACAGCCGTTAAGATCTCTTTTCCAGGGGAAAAAATGTTTTGAGATTCACTTTATAATTTAATCTGTAGAATAGTGAATATTTTTTTTCTTTTTTAGGAACACTGTCCATTGGCCTGGGGAAATATAAACTTGTTTGATTATACTGACACCCTAGTATCAGGAAAAATGGCTTTGAATCTTTGGCCAGTACCTCATGGATTAGAAGATCTGCTGAACCCTATTGGTGTTACTGGGTCAAATCCAAATAAAGTAAGCTTTTGTTATAAATTAGATGGTTTTCTTTTTTTTTTAAATGCAGTAAAACACAATATTTATGTGCATGTATAGATACATATATTCTCACACATATATACATAACTAATTTTTATTCCATCTCTTAGGAAACTCCATGCTTAGAGTTGGAATTTGATTGGTTCAGCAGTGTGGTAAAGTTTCCAGATATGTCAGTGATTGAAGAACATGCCAATTGGTCTGTATCCCGAGAAGCAGGATTTAGTTATTCCCATGCAGGACTGGTAAGGGAAATAATTGAGTGTTTTAAGTAATTCCTTGTTAATATAACTTAGCATACTTATATCATTTTCTGCAAATATGTGTACATATTCTTTGTGTAGACAAGGTTTTATAAATTTTAGTTATACTAACAAATACTATTGTGCTCTAGAACAATATTACAATAGAGTAAAATTTTCTTCATGTTGATATTTTTCCTGCAGCTCTGTTTCCTCTATTCAGAGCCCTATCCCTCCTTCATTTGTTTAATAAATATTATTGAATGCCAACTCTGTGTAAAGCACTGGAATAGGCAGAGGTAAAGTTGTAAACTAAACAGACCCCATTAAGTATTTAGTCTAATATTAAACAGACATAAGTAGAAGTATAAGATTAAAATTTATGGTAAGCAGCATGAAGGAATAAAACAGAAGTATGATAACAAAAAACAAGGGTTGCGCTGGGGATGTGGCTCAAGCGGCAGGGCGCTCTCCTGGCCTGCGTGCGGCCCGGGTTCGATCCTCAGCACCACATACAAACAAAGATGTTGTGTCCGCCGAAAACTAAAATATAAATATTAAAAATTCTCTCTCTCTCTCTCTCTCTCTCTCTCAAAACAAAAACCAAGGGTTGAACAAGGGAAAGGCTAATGTTTATTGGGTTCAAAAAAGATCCCTGAGATAGTAGCCTTGAAGTTGAGACTAAGGTTTAAATACTTTGTTAGTTGAGCTTGGAAGCACAGGAAATAGCAAATCTTCACCACATTAGTCCTCGTTCTCCAGAAAAGAATGATTATAAAGTAAGTGGAACTTAAATATTGATCCAGTTGTTTAATCTTGGCCATAACTTTGAAACCACAAGATAACTGCATTCAAGGACCATTAACTGTCCCTTATTTCTCAAGGGCAAAGGTGTTAGGGTGAGAGGAGATATTTTTGTTCGTTGGTGTCTCTTTCTCCCATTTTCCAAATTTATCACTTTTTTTTTAAGCCTTGTTGTAGGTTATAGATAGACCAGCCAATGAATAATGGGCCAAGAGGTCCTGAAATATGCCCATCCTGGGCACAGTAACAGCAGCACAAAGATGCACACTTTATCAGTTTATATCTCTGGTCCTAGTAAGGAGTTGATTAATTGCTCTTGTAAACTAAGTATTATATCTTTCCTGTATACATGATTTAAAAGATATGAGTTTCTTTTTTTAGAAGTTATAACTATTTATAAGGATTGATATTTTGTGTCTTGTATTCTTGCTTACTAGAATTTCTCTTTTTAAAAAGTGCTTATTTTTATAATAGAATTAAACCTACTCTTTTCATTTACCATTTGGATCTGTTGGAAATTTTAATTATGTTTCAGAAAATGTTTTACTATTTCATCATCCTAGGAATTACTTCATCCTTATTCATTATTTTCATTTATGCTAAAAAAGACTAAAAGATATGAAAATACAGAAGGATATAATAGCATAGAAAGATAATACAGTAGTGATATAAATTATAACTATTATATAAAATAGACCCTTCTGTTTTCTTATGGCTTTGCCCAATGTCTTGCAGCATCTTTTTCATAGGTGTAAATCTATAGACATTGTCTTTGTAGGATTTTTGTTCATTCGTGGTTTTTTATGCTTTCATTGCACATAAATTTTCACTTTCCACCCACAATGACAAAATTAAAGAAAAAAATATTCACGATTACTAGATAAATCATAATAGGAATGTAGAGACAGACAGTAGGACTCTATAGTACTATTTTTTAACCTCAGTCCTACATTTTAGACCAAATAATTCTTTGTTGTGGGAGCTATTCTGTGTATTATAGTATGGACAGCAGTGTCACTGGCCTCTGCCCTACTAGACACCAGCAGCATCACCACACCTAGTTGTGGCAATCAAACATGTCTCCAGACCTTACTAAAGGTCCCTGGGAGGTAGGGAGTTCAAAATCACCCCAATTGAAAAATACCTCTCTAGACTCTAATTATAATGGCTAAGTTTATCATATAAATGAAATGTCAGATGACAGTATCCTACGTGAATTTTCTCAAATTCAAGGCAATAATGAATAAACAATGTATTTTTAAGCACAAAAAGGAAGTTTGATATTCACATTCCATTATTATTCACTGATAATGATTTAATCTCAATATTCTGTGACAAGAATCTAAACAGCCTTATATTTTGCATTATTATTTTTATCTTTTATGATGTTGAATACCAAAATTTACTTGAAACGCTTTCTAATTGGACAAATGCAGAAGGCAGGTGACTAGAAGGAAAAGGGTAATGTAAAAATTTTAAAAGTTCCTTGAATTGATCATTCTGATGATATTTATAAGTAATTATTTTGCAATTATTGAGCAGAGATGACCAACTTCTTCAACAAAATTACAAGCCATCAGTGTTCAGTGATTTTCATTTTGACAGTGTTGTTTATATAATTTGACAAAGTTGTATTTCAAAACAAGGAAAATGTGGATAAAAATGGATAAAATATTAAATTGTTTTTATCATCACTACAAATTATTTTGTATTAAAAATATAAACAAAAATAAGTAAATAAAATAATCCCTTGGATGCAGATGATAAGTGGAAATGATGACTTTTCCTAGTAAGTTGAGGGTTAAATAGTGTCCCTTGCCTGAATTATTGTCAGTAGTCTCCTAACTTCCACACAGTGGCCAAAATAATCTTTATGAAACATAAATTAAATTATAGCTTTTATAACTTAAATAGCTGTCAATAAAAATAAAATCCAAGCTGTTTAGCCAGAACCATATATTTCACATGCTGTGAACTCCACCTTCTATCTGTCTGAGTCTCCCTCATTTATTAGACGCTAAGCTTACTGGCTTTCTCCCAGTTCTTCTATCAAACCATTCCTCATTCCCTCCTTGGGGCCTTTGCACTGTTTCCTCCATCTACAATTGTCTTCCTGATCAAACGTGGACAGTTTCTTTTTGTCATTTGAATCACAAATCAAATATTATGTTCTATTTGAAATACACAGTCAACAGTAGCTACTCTGTAATTCTGTTATATAACTCGGCATACTTACATCAAGTATACAATATTTTTTCTTTTCTATTTATTTGATTTCCCACTTGAATGGAGGCTCTGTTAGTGCAGGGTCTTTTACTGTTTTCTAACTCCAGCAACAAGAACAGGACAAAGCACATAGTACATATTTAGTAAATGCTTGTTGAATAAATATGTGCAAATAGTATTTTTTCACACTGTTGAATAAATCAACAAGGTAAATACATAAAAAGCCATGTATCATGAATTTCTGCTTTCATTTATAGCTTTGGAAATTACTGTGGAGTGTATATTTGTTTTGAGCAATATACTAATGATATGTATTCATAATTATTAATTATCCAGTTAATATATTTTTATGTAAAGAAAACAAATACGTTACTTGGAATTATACAAAAAGTTACATTATTTTCTTTCCTGACATTCATTGTACAGTATTTTAAGAGGGTATTTCATCTCCCTTTTTCTCTTACTTATTTTTACTTTTTATATTTGAAAGCTTTGCAGCAATTAAGGGTATGCTCAGGCAAGAAACATAAAAAAAAAAGTTTACATTTTTATTTTATTATTATACTGTTTCTTATTCTTTTTTACCAGAAATATTAGATTAGTTCATCGAATGCTACTAGGAGACCTCATCAGGAAAAAGGCTGAATGGTTCACTACTATACCCTAGTATTTGGTCTTCCTTACTAACTTTGGCAGTTATTGTTCTAATTGTGATTGGTGGTAATATTAACCATGTTAAGTGACTGCATTTGTTCCACAAATACTGTCTTAGATTGGTTCTTCCCTGTTGCTGAAAATGCCGTGTTTGGGGTGAAGAAATTTTTAGTAGTTAATAAGCAGTGTAAAGTTTATTGAAAATTAATTTGCTTTTTGGGGGGATCATTAATGAATAAAGCAAAGAAAATCATCTAAGATATTGCTTTATTTTACAGAGTAACAGACTAGCTAGAGATAATGAATTAAGAGAAAATGACAAAGAACAACTCCGAGCAATTTGTACACGAGATCCTCTATCTGAAATCACTGAGCAAGAGAAAGATTTTCTATGGAGCCACAGGTAAATATTAAGATGGAGTTTCTCTGTTTTTTTTTTTTCTTTTATTACAGAAGACAGGACTGACTTTGGTTGATCTTGCTATATTTTTATCATACTTAGTACAAAATAAAGCATACATAATTTTTTTATGATTTTGAATTTTTTTAAACTTATGGGTATACATATTGTACTTACAGAAAAACATGCTATGTTAATACTTATTGTGGACTTTGAAGGCTTTTAAAACTTAAAAAATTCTTTATTGGCTCTGGAAATTGAATAAGGCCCTATATATGCTAAGCTTGTATTCTACCACTCAACTAACTCCTCAGGGCATTTTTTAAACTTTTAACTGACTTTCCTAGGGGTTTTTAAAATTCAAGGAAGAAAATAGTTGTGATTTCGTTGGTGTAGATATTATGATTTTCAGGAATTTACTTTTCATTGTTTTTTTTCTTGAAGTCCTCAAAGTAATAGTGTAATACCTTATTTTCATGTAGGCAGAAATTACCTTGCTACATGTAAGTGACGTTGATTTATTTAACTGAAGCAGTTGCAGTGAATTTCTGCAGAAAGTACATTAAAACATATTTTGTCTAGTAACCTCAACAGAAGTGGTAACTCTGTGGTTCAAGTTGTATAAGTAGGTGAATATGAGTGATCTAAAGAGTGATAACACATATACTTAATTTTTCTTAAATGTCAGCTAAATGTAAGTACTATCCCATTTGGATTTCCTTTTGTCTTTGCCATTTTTATCATGTCTAAGTATGTAAGTAAATATGTATACAATTATCGTGTTAAACACTAGTTTCTTTTGATTTTAAAAAGGTATAGTAGTAATAATAAGTTTGGAACTTAAAGATTGAAGAGTTAGACACCTAGGCCTTTTGAATAACATAGAAGAACGTTTTTTTATTTTGTTTTGTTTTTCCCGACAGACACTATTGCGTAACTATACCTGAAATTCTACCCAAATTGCTTCTGTCTGTTAAATGGAATTCTAGAGATGAAGTAGCCCAGGTAAATGCATATTTGAGGTTATTAAATAAATGTTGCACAAAATTGGTTTATTACTCAAATTGTTTTCTTTCAAAAAAACTACATAAATTTAAGAGATGAAATGGACAATTGGTTAGTTATGGTATATAGTGGAGAAAAAAACACTATTCACATTATTTTCACAAATAAAACTTGCTAGAACTGAAAATTTTAAGCAAGTTTTAAGGTTTTTTATCTAAATGAACCCTAAAATCAACAACTAGGTAGTGTTGAAGAAAGTTTATTCACAATTATCCTTACTTTTAAAATATGATATATTTATTGTCTTTCTCATACACAGATGTACTGCTTAGTAAAAGATTGGCCTCCAATCAAGCCTGAACAGGCAATGGAGCTTCTGGACTGTAATTACCCAGATCCTATGGTTCGAGGTTTTGCTGTTCGATGCTTAGAAAAATATTTAACAGATGACAAACTTTCTCAGTACCTGATTCAGCTAGTACAGGTAAAATAGAAAATAATGTTTTATTCTAAAACTATGCAATTTCCAAAATTACTGTATCAACTAGTTTTATGCTTTTAAAACAAATTCATTTTATTACCAATAGTATGTACTTTGTTTCTAAAATTTTTTCTTTAAATCCAGCTATGCAGAAACAGACCCTGATTCATTTGAGTTTTTGTTTGTTCTTTTAATTAACTAGGTCCTGAAATATGAGCAATATTTGGATAACCTGCTTGTGAGATTTTTACTCAAGAAAGCATTGACAAATCAAAGGATTGGGCACTTTTTCTTTTGGCACTTAAAGTAAGTCAGATTATTTCTCCACTGAATTCTTTCACTGTTTGTTACTTGTTTTCTATATATTTATATATTATACATCTAATAGATGTATAAATATGTATTACTAATGCACTTTTAGTTTTGGGTGGAATCATTTTCTATACTGAAAATGTATTACAGCAGTAATGAACTCTTCAACCTTTTCTCTTTGAAATTAAACAGTAAAAGTCAAAACTGAATTTTTTACATGAATGAAAGCTAAAATATTTTTTAAGGTTTTGATTCTACTTTAAGTAAAATTTGCTAGATGCAGATTATTGTTTCTATAGGTTTCACTCTATTATAAATTAAAATATTCCAAAATAAATAAAAATCTTAACTTGGAATTCAGAACAATAATGTTTCTTGCTAGAATATAAGCAAGAATAACAGGGCTGGGTTTACGGCTCAGTGGAAGCGTGCTCGCCTAGCACATGCAAGGACCTGGGTTCAATCCTCAGCACCACATAAAAATAAATAAATAAAATAAAGTTACTTTGTCCAACTACAACTAAAAAATTTTAAAAAATTAAAAAATATTTTTGCAGAAGGCAGTGTATTTTGTACTCAAAGTTAGAGTTCATGAGCCATATTCTTTTAAATAAACTTAAATCTATGTCTAATGTGATTTTTTTAAGTGTTCGAATAAAAAAATGGGACCTAGACACTAGGTTAGAAATAACTTAAATTTGAGACAGTGTAGAAAAGTGTGAATTATGTGCCAGAAAAGTCAAAGTACTCACTGAACTCTTGTATTTTGTTATTTCTGATCATTTTATTATTTTTTTGTTTCAGTTTCTTTTTTTGTGTTTTTATGTCTTTTGCTGAGATTGGTGAATGAAAAGTAGTTTAAAATAAACCTAAAAAATGGTTGTTTATTAAATGACATGTTCAGGAACTACCTGAAACTTGATTATATTTTTTAAATGATAAGATTTTAAATCATTTTATTGTGAGTAGGATTGTAACATTTATTGGACTTGCAAAATGGGTTTCCTTATTTTTTAAGTTTATATATACTAATTTAATGCACACACATATATGTACATATATATAATTTTTTTTCATTCTTCTTTTAGATCTGAGATGCACAATAAAACAGTTAGTCAGAGGTTTGGCCTGCTTTTAGAGTCCTACTGTCGTGCATGTGGGATGTATTTGAAGCACCTGAATAGGCAAGTTGAGGCTATGGAAAAGCTCATTAACTTAACTGATATTCTCAAACAAGAAAAAAAGGATGAAACACAAAAGGTGTGTGACTTTAATTTGTTTTTGAAACTTGAAATTTTCATTGCAGTGTGTTAGGGTGGTTCAGAAACTTAGTGCATCTGTAGATTATGGTCCTTGGCATCAAGCCAGCTAGGATTTAAATCCAGATTCCACTCTCTCTCTGCTATGTAATGTTAAATAATGTTGCATACATTATTTAGGCTCCTAAGATTTCATTTTGCTCATCTGTAAAATGGGAGTATTATTGAATCATAAGGTTGTTGTGAGAACTAAACTATATGCTCTATGCAAAGTACCCATTATAGTTCCTAGAACCTGAGGTGCCCAATAAATGTAAGTCCCTCTTTTTTCCTTCCTTTCTTTTTATATATTCCTACGTATTTAAAATTATTCTTCCATTTATTATCTTAAAAATGACTCTGAAAATGAGTGGAAAGAAGTGAGTTTTGGCATTTTTAAGTTTTAAATGGACTCAAAGCCGCTCAGCAAATATGTCACATACATTAATCATCTGCACCCTGTCTTAGTGTAGCTAAGGAATATGAAATGAAAAGGTTTTTCATGACCTTTTCCTATTCTCTATTCTTTGTTCAATCTAATCTATCACATCCTGCAGTGAAAAGTGAAATCATTCTTCACCTCTATCGAAGTTGGGGTTGGAGTTAGGGTTAATCCCCTTTATTAGCAAGTCCCCAAAGGGCAGAGAACGTAAATGAATGGGTTTTTCCAATATCTTCATCAATATTACTGGAAGGAGAAAACAATTTTAAAAGAAAGTTGCTGTATTGAAAGTTACTATATTAATCTAAATATCATGTAGCATATAACTTAATTGATTTTGTTGAAGTTCTGGTATATAAGTTCAAATATTAGTATATTAGAAAATAATTGTACTATTTCTGATGCTGCAATTTATAGATGAGGGACTGGACTGATTTGTAAGTACAAAATATATTTATACATTGTGTAACTGAGCTAAGAGGAAAGAAAATAGGTCTTAGATATATTTATAAATACAGGCATTTATTTTGTACTAGAGTTTTCTTATCAAAAATTGGTAATGATACAATAGCTTAGAAACATGAAATTCATTACCTTGTATCATTATTGCCTTAAATGAGTTTGTAATAAGTAACTAAAATTGCAGTTCCAGAAACAAAATAGTTTCAAAATAGCAATGAGTGATAAGGTATGGGAAACACAGTGCTAGCTAGCAATAGAGTTGGCAGTGATGGAAAAAGAAATATCTTTACATTAGCAGTAGCTGTCTATTTTGTGATGAATAGATTTTCCAGCTATTTACGTATATATAGTAAGAAGGAAAAAACTTTAAAATTGCAGCATGAAAATTAATTTATTATGAATTCCTAGCTCCTAACATCTTTTTCCTAGCACACACTTAATGTTTTTTATATAAAATATATTTTAAGGTAAAAATATTGGAATTAAAACAAAGTTGCTGATTAATCTGTTAGATGAAGGCTTCCTGAAATAAAATGCCATGTATTACATGATAACTGAGCAGTTTGTACTCTGGGTTGAAAGGATTAAAAAATGATATTTCTTTCTAGATACATACTAGAACCTGAGTATAGTATGAGACTCCACGTAGCAAAAGTTTTTACAACTTCAAGTTTGTTTTAGCATCACTAGACCTTTTTTCACCCAACAGAGAGCATGAATGTAATGTTTTCTAAAAAGCCTAAAAGAAAGAATATTAAGCTAAGGTAGCATGATCTCCTCCTCTAGAAGAAGGGGCAGCAAATTTTTTTTTTCTTAAAGGGCCAGATAATAAGTATTTTAGATTTTGCAAGCCACATGGTCTGGTCTTAACTATTCAACTCTGCTATTCCAGTGTGAGGGCAGCTGATGTGTGATGAATGGGCATGGCTATATTCTAATGCAATTTGATTTACAAAATGTGGCAGCTGATCTGTAGGCAGTGGTTGACTAACTATGCTCTGGAGCCAAAGCATTGCCACTGTCACACACAGAGTTCATCCTCTCAAGGGAAGGGTGCAAGTGCTGCCACTCTTTTCTCTCTCCCTGAGTTACGCTACTCTGTGTCATAGAAATCCTTTTCATTATAATGAAGCCAGTCCAGAGCATGGATTCAAAGACTATGCAATACCGAATTTTCAGTGTAAGACGAGATTAGAAGTTATTTCACCTTTACAAACTTAGTTTCTAAATTTGATTATGCTTTTTTTTTTTTTTGGGTCAGGTACAGATGAAGTTTTTAGTTGAGCAAATGAGGCAACCAGATTTCATGGATGCTCTACAAGGCTTTCTGTCTCCTTTAAACCCTGCTCATCAACTAGGAAATCTCCGGTAAGATGCTTTGTTGGAAATTTTATTGATATATTTGAATAAGTACTTTTTGGATAAAATTTTGAGAAAAGTCAAAATGTCCCATAAAATAAGAATGTCCAATTATATACTCTTCCTTTCCCATTTCCCACCCTGAAAAATAGAAATAGTAAAATTATCTTAAATTAGAACTGCATTTATTAGAATAAATTTTTACTACTTTAATAATAAAGTTCAAGGCCTTCTGTGTTAGAATTTCTGGTATCATAGTTAAGAAATTGAATGTAATATCTGTAAAATTAATGTCTCCCTGTATTGATTGAAAATTCATAATTACATAAACATTTAAAAGTATTTTTCTTTGTATGTCTTAGGAATGACTTCATAATTAAAACTTAAGAAATTTTAAATTTTTTATATTTCAAAAAGTTATACTAGATACATCTTTTAAAGTAAATTTGAGAGTTAAAAGAATAATGAAGCTAAGGTGTACTAGTAAAGTGTTTTAATGATTTCAAAGGCTTGAGGAGTGTCGAATTATGTCCTCTGCAAAAAGGCCACTGTGGTTGAATTGGGAGAACCCAGACATCATGTCGGAGTTACTGTTTCAGAACAATGAGATCATCTTTAAAAATGGAGATGGTAAGGAAAAGTATTAATGAGTTTATCATGTATGAATTTAGCTATCTTTTTATGCACAAAGTATTTATGAACCATGAAAATTATTTTTCAGATACACATGTGATAAAATATAGAATATTGAGCAGATCTTCTAACTTTCGTAATATATATAAAGAAATTCAGGAAACGTGACCTCAAGTATGATAATTTGATGTGCAGATGACTTAGAACATAGGGAAACAAATGCTTTTTCTCAGCTCCCTTTTTCTGCCTAAAGGTGGATCCTTCAAAAGGAACTCATTGGTCATGAATCTTATCAACCAATGAAGATCAGCTGGAGGTTGATCCCTACAGTTCTAAGTATGTGTAAACATTAAAAAAGAAGAAGTAGTTTTGCTCCACTAGACACGTTTTCTTGTTAATGATTATATATGTCTAGAGGAGCTAAAAATGGCTTGCCTAACCTTTCTACATTCCTGCACTAGGCTTCAAATTAAATCAACATAAAACAGATTAACAAGAAAAAATATTTAGTTATGTATACCATTACACAAAATATGAACTTGAAAAAGAATCTGATGAATGAAACTTATGAGCATCCTGAGCAACAGAAAGGAATAGGAGGTTGGGGTGTCCACACAGTTATGGGAGGGTAGGAGAGCAAAGGTATTATGAATAAAGGTTGTCTTGATAGGCAGATTAAAAAAAAAAATCTCTGTTAAAAAAAAAAAAGTAATTTCAGAGTAACCCTCAGAAGAACAGGTGGTAGTCTATCTAGGCTTGTTGTCAACCTCTAGTTGTTCCCCTGGTTGAGGTGGCATTTTTTGAACCCCTTTAGAATCAGAAGTCCTGAAATCATTTTGGCATTTGCTGAACCATCATTTGAATGAATGGTGTGAGTGTGCATTTATTAAATGACAATTCTACTTTGATTCAAGTGGGTTATGAACTCCCATTTTTACCCCGTATACAGATTGCAGAATCACATCAGTTAACACATCCATTGATTTACATATTGCCATACTAGTGTCTGTTGTATTCTGCTGCCTTTCCTATCCTCTACTATCCCCCCTCCCCTCCCCTCCCCTCCCCTCTTCTCTCTCTACCCCCTCTACTGTCATTCATTTCTCCCCCTTGTATTATTTTCCCCTTTCCCCTCACTTCCTCTTGTATGTAATTTTGTATAACCCTGATGGTCTCCTTCCATTTCCATGCAATTTCCCTTCTCTCTCCCTTTCCCTCCCACCTCTCATCCCAGTTTAATGTTAATCTTCTTCTCATGCTCTTCGTCCCTACTCTGTTCTTAGTTACTCTCCTTACATCAAAGAAGACATTTGGCATTTGTTTTTTAGGGATTGGCTAGCTTCACTTAGCATAATCTTTTACTGGGTAAAAATGGGAGTTCATAACCCACTTGAATCAAAGTGTGAAATATGATATATCAAGAACTATGTAATGTTTTGAACAACCAACAATAAAAAATTTAAAAAAAAAAAGAAATGTATTATGAAAATAAATGGGTTTTAGAAGTTTGGACAAAAAAAAAAAGAAAAAGAAAATAAATAAATAAAAATAAATGACAATTCTATGTGGTAGTCCGAGGGATTATAGCAGTAAGCAAAACAGAGTCCCTGCCCTTTTAGAGTTTACAGTCTTAACAGAAAAAAGGGACATTAATAATAAATAATTACAAAAATAAAATTGCAACCATGGTACAAAGAAAAAGTGTAGTCTGCTAAGAATATAAAGAATGTCCCTAATTATGTAGGCTGTAGGGGGAAATGGAAAGATTATAAAGGGCTTTGCATTGTGAAATACAATTCAGTGGTGAATTCTGTTATCTCCGTACTTTAATGTAAACATGTTCATGTTTAAGGATTTGCAAAAATATTTTAAATATGTTTAAGATTTTTGTGAAATATCTGCTCACTTATTCTGTTATACAAATATAGTAATGCAGGTACTTTGGAAGTGAGTTAAAGATTCAAAATATTGCTGTCTTATAAGTTATTTTGAAAAGTAAATGTAGCTCTTTGTTTTCCATGTGAAAACAATATAATACCCTCATTTCTACTGATAGCTTTAAGTGGTGAAACATATAATTTGAATTTCAGATTTACGGCAAGATATGCTAACACTTCAAATTATTCGAATTATGGAAAACATCTGGCAAAATCAAGGTCTTGATCTTCGGTAGGTAATCAGTAAGATAACCTGTATGTTAACTTGGGGAAAATACTAATAAATATTAATAATAGGACGATATATACACATACATATGTAGTAGTAATTAATGGGTTGATTATGCTTTGGTACTTTTGTTTGTCCTCTTACATGACTTAGACCAATTGATGATATTTCATCAAAGTAAGAACCATTTCTAATAAAGCTAGTAAAGACTCTGCAGTTGTCCCTGGAAGGTCATCATTATGAAAAGGAAATAGGTGACACAAAAGCCCCCTCTTTTTATTCAGAAGTTGAGTTTAAATTTTCTAATCTTGAATCAGTTTTTCAACAAAGTTTTTGAAACCGACTAAAGTTTTTACCAGTTTATTGGTTTCTGTCCAACTTTCCACAATTATCAGATTATCTCCAAATTTTGTCATGCTTCATAAAGTGGGCATGAACCAAGTCTAGCTGTAACAACATGATAGATGAGATAGAAATAGCCAGTAATTCCAAATGAGGGCTTGTATATCTCTAATAGATAAGAGTAGCTAGTAAATAAAAGAGTATAAGTAACAAATAATAGTAATACCCTTTTATTTGCAAAAAAGAAAATGGACATTTCAAGTAACCTGCTGAGGCACAAAATTAAGTCATCAATTTTGATTCTTAACTCTTTTTTTTTTACTTACTAGTTCTTTTTAGTTATACGTGACAGTATAATCCATTTTGATACAATTATACAAGCATGGAATATATTTTATTCTATTTAGAGTTCCGTTCTTATGGATGTATGTGCTGGTGGGATTTACTGATTCATTGCTTTCCTTTCCAAAGATAATTAATGTTATATGAATCACATTTCCTTTTTGATAATAATTTCCTGTGTCATGAAAGATGCCACCAGTACCACAACTCTCAGTAACAAAGAGTATAAAAAGAATGCAGAGCTTCAAAGAGTAAAGGATCTAAGTAATTATCTCTGGTAATTATCACACTTAATTGTAAATTAGTAATTGCAAGAAAAGAAATTATAGTTATTTAAAATACGAAGGAGTTTTCATTTATAATATTTTCTGAATACTTAAGTGAAATTTTTATTTGAAGTTTAATTTTAGTTAAAATTTAATTTAAGTAAAATAGCATTTTTACTTGGCAAAAGTATAATTCAGATTTAGGTTTCTTATCACTCTGCTTTTCATATAGCAAGAATTATAGGATAATTTGTCTCATTTAAACTATGAGCATGTTCAACGGTAATAAAATAAAAACATGAAATAAGATAAAATGTGCTGGAGAACAACCTTGAAAAAAAGTCCGTATTTACCAGGGCAGGTAGAAAAAAAGATTCCATAGAGAAGTGGTCAAAGGGTACCAGAATAAATGATTCATAGTTCCCAAAAGAAGGAAGAGATTGACAAACCATTTGCAGTGCCATGTACTCCAAGGATTTAGAAAACAAGGACTAAGAAAAAAAAAAAACTGGATTTGATGACTTATGGTTAACTTTAAGAAGAGTTTACAGTAGAATGGTAGACATAGAAGCTAGGTGACAGGAATTAAAGTGAGAAAATGAAAATAAGTGTAGACTATTTTAGGAAGTTAAAAAAAGAAAAAGGAGGAAGAGACAGTAGCTTTATGAGACCAGCAGAGCAAAGAAAACCATACTTTGATACTTTATGTAACAATTTGTATGTTTTTTTCATTATTGTTTTTAAGCCTTCATGTCTTTACCCTTGACTACATGTATTTACTATTTGATATTCTTTTTCTCTGCTTAATATTTGATATAATAAAACAGGAAGTACCCAAAAAGCACTACTGCAACATGGCAAAATGATAGTTATATCAAGGAAACACATTTGTGGGATTGAGCTGTGAACTAAACTAAACTACTAGCTCCTTTTTTCTTGGAATACTATTTTAATTAAAAGAAATAATGATTAAAAAAAACTGTGGTTATTCAGACATGAGTATTTGGCAGACATTTTCTTGAAAATGAACAATATGTGGCTATCTCTTCAAATAAACCAACTATGACAATATTTATTGCCAAGGATAAAATTTGAGCTTTCAGTCACCAATTAGAATTTTGGAAAACTTAATATTCACCACTGAACTTAATTTGTCCTCAAATTTAAAGACTTTTAATTGAAAGTCTGTGATAATATTAACAATTATGAGTTTTTAGTATGGTATAATGAAAAATACCAACATTTAGAAGATGTACATAACTCATTAAATTAATATCTTCCAAATGACCATTGCAGGATACCCATTAAAAACAAGATAAACAAATCAGTTTTAATAAAGCAGTATGAAAAGTTTGTTGATCTGTCTCAGATTCCGTATTGCAACTTGAGACACTATCTTGTGTCCAGTTTTAGAATAGTCTCTAAGAAAAATATCTGCTATTATCTGAGAAGACTATGACAATCTCCTTTTTTCAACTACCTATTTGTATGATGCCAGATTTTCTTTACGTACCTCAATTAAAATACCTTACATAGGTTGGTTACAGAAGCATGTATGAAAATCTGGCTGTCTATAAAACCAGACATTAAAAATTCTTGAAGACATATATTGTTCTTTTCACTATTTTTTTTTTTTTTAATATGGAGGGAGATATTTGGGTTTTGTGGGATTTTAGTTTCCGATTTGTTTTTTTGCTACCAGGATTGAATGTACGGGTACTTAATCACTGATCCATATCCCCAGCTCCCCGCACCCCCCCCCCTTTTTTTCCCTAATGTATGTATGTATGTATTTTTTGAGACTGGTGTCACTAAGTTGCTGAGGGCCTCACTAAGTTGCTGAGGCTGGCTTTGAATTGCCATCCTCATACCTCAGCCTTCCCAGCCCGTGGGATTGCAACACTGTACCTGGCAATACAGGGTTTTTTGTTTCATAAAAGATATTATTTATATTGACACATGATGTTTTGTTTTTAGATGAATTAATAAAATGTGGTCAGTTTTTTTTGATCATTTCTCATATGGAATATTTTCTCTCCTGCCCCCATAAATACATTCTTAAGATTTTACTCCAATTTATTCTCTTATTTTATGATTTTTTTTTAATCACTGTTGAGCATGCTTGTAGTTTAAAGAATCCTAATGGCTTGATTTTAAATGAAATTAATAAATGCTTTTATTTTTATTTTGTTTTAATTTCTAATATCAAGAGATGTAAACCTCATAAATAAAAGTTCCTTGGGGTCCCCAGTAATTTTTACAAGTATAATGGAGTCCTGAGACAAAAACATGGGAACTGCTGCCCTAAAGCTTTACTTAAATGGAAATTAAACATCATTAAATTTATCCATATTTTAAAGTCATAAATGTTTATATTTTATTTCTATAATTTCTGAGTAATGTTTTTCTGATACTACAATAAGTGCTTTCTCAATTGAAGTCTGTAGTAAATAATTATATAATTTTGTGGATTTTCTAGAAATATGTTTTTTTAGAAAAAAGACTTTGACAGTATAATTCAAATTTACAAATGGAATATTCATGATTTGTCATATTAAAATATTTGCTGTACTAAAATTCCATTATTTAATTGTAAATGTGTTTCTCTTTTTTCAGAATGTTACCTTATGGTTGTCTGTCAATTGGTGACTGTGTAGGACTTATTGAGGTGGTAAGAAATTCTCACACTATCATGCAAATTCAGTGCAAAGGTGGCCTGAAAGGCGCACTGCAGTTCAACAGCCACACACTACATCAGTGGCTCAAAGATAAGAACAAAGGAGAAATGTGAGTGTTTTTATTCCTTTTTACTATGTTAAGTAAATTTTTGTTAGATGAGTCTCTTAGTGGTTGAATATATTCCTCTGAGTTAAACCAGAAGAAACAATTATACTTATTTCAGGTAAAAATATGCTCAACTTTTGAAATATTTGTGGTTTTTTGGGCTTAAATGATCAGACTGCTTATAATTTGATAAAATTATGTACATTCAACTAAGTAAAAGTGTTCTTATTGTTTATCCTTTTTTAGCACAAATTCAGATTTTTACTTCTAATTCATTGTTAATGATTAGAAAAAAATAAGTTTAATGACATAAGTATTTTTTTCACTACGGTAGGAATTATGCTTTGATAAGCAACATCTAGAAATTTCCGTAGAAACTCTTGAAAACTTCACATTTTCGAAATTCCTTAGATCTTTGGACATAAGTATTTCTTCCTTAATGTCAGTGATTGTTTCATTGTTTAGATAAAAATTTAATATTTTCCGTTTGGCCTTGATCACTTTGTTTTCCACACCACTCCTGAGGTGTTTATCTCTTCTATATAGATATGATGCAGCCATAGACCTGTTTACACGTTCATGTGCTGGATATTGTGTGGCTACCTTCATTTTGGGAATTGGAGATCGGCACAATAGTAACATCATGGTGAAAGATGATGGACAAGTAATGACTTTTTCTTTTTAAAATATTTTGATGTTCTTAAGCTAAATTTATTAATTCAAGATATTGTATTTCAGCATGTGTTGACCTATAACATAATTTCTTATTTTTGAAAGCTGTTTCATATAGATTTTGGACACTTTTTGGATCACAAGAAGAAAAAATTTGGTTATAAACGAGAACGTGTACCCTTCGTTTTGACACAAGATTTCTTAATTGTGATTAGTAAAGGAGCTCAAGAATGTACAAAGACCAGAGAATTTGAGAGGTAAGCTCAAGAAATTAAAAGCTCAAGATAAAGAGTTCTTGCTGCTCTATCAGAAATAATTAATATTGTTCAGGTAATTTAAGTAACAAATGTTATTTAGCAAAAATTGAATGATGCTGTGAAGAATGAAAATGAAAGGCAGTTTAATTTATTGAGCTAATTAAGACCTAAAAGGAAAATAATTTCTAAACTTCATAACACATTCAAAGTTTTTACTTACTGCTCTTTAAATAATTGGACTCCATCTTCTCTGTATTGGCAAATAATAAATAGTGCTTAAAACATTTTTAGTCATATAAGTTGAAAAGTCAAATTAACTATAACTACCATGCGTATTCATAATTTTTCTTACCACCTATGATACATCATTTGTCTTAGACCTTAAATTACTTTTTTAAAATTCTGCTTTATTTACAACTCTGTCTCTTGACCCTAGCTGAAATCCTAAAAGCTTTAGTATGAACCAGTTCTTATATATTAATAAATATTTATTAAGCTCCCAACGTGCCAGACATTGGTCTTTGTGTTTGTGATAAAACAATAAACAAAGTTTTTATCCTCATTGAGTTTACTTTCTAGTGGGGTAAAGGAAATAGAAAAGTGCTGACAAGGGGAGTGGGGAGAGGAGGGCTATTTGTCCAAGTAAGCCTCTCTGAGTGACATTTGAGCAGAGATCTGAAAGTATTAATACCATTTGCATCATACTGACTGAACTGTTTTTACTGCTTATAGGTTTCAGGAGATGTGTTACAAGGCTTATCTAGCTATTCGACAGCATGCCAATCTCTTCATTAATCTTTTCTCAATGATGCTTGGCTCTGGAATGCCAGAACTACAGTCTTTTGATGACATTGCATATATTCGAAAGACCCTAGCCTTAGATAAAACTGAGCAAGAGGCTTTGGAATATTTCATGAAACAAATGAATGATGCACACCATGGTGGCTGGACAACAAAAATGGATTGGATCTTCCACACAATTAAGCAGCATGCATTGAACTGAAAGGATAACTAAGAAACTGAAAGCCTAATATCTGGATTCTACACTGCACTGTTAATAACTATCAGCAGGCAAAGACTGATTGCATAGGAATTGCACAATCCATGAACAGCATTAGAATTTACAGCAAGAACAGAAATAAAATAGTATATAATTTAAATAATGTAATGCAAACAGGGTTTGATAGCACTAAACTAGTTCGTTTCAAAATTAAGCTTTAGAATAATGCGCAATTTCATGTTATGCCTTAAGTCCAAAAAAAAAAAAAAGGTAAACTTTGAAGATTGTTTGTATCTTTTTTTAAAAAACAAAACAAAACAAAACTCCCCAAAATATATAGCAATGATGGAGAAAGAAAAAGAATGATGTTCTACTTATCTTGCAAATGTTCTGTTTTGAAATGTGGATACAACAAAGGCTGTTATTGCATTAGGGCTAAGTAAACTAGAGCTTATGTTAAATTATGTAAGATTGGAAAAGAATGAAAATTTCTTTTTTTTTTTCCCCATTGCTGATCAATTTGCAATTTGAAATGGATTTTTGGACTCCTTGTTTAATGAAGAAAAAATGCTTTGGGTGGAAGGGACTCTTGCGATTTCATCAGAGACTTTTTCTTTTTAATAAATCAAACCTTTTGATGATTTGGGGTCTTATCTGCACAGTTTTGGAAGCAGTCACAAATGAGACCTGTTATAAGGTAGTGTTTTTGTTGTTTTTTTCTTTTTCTTTTTCTTTTTTTTTTTTTTGTCTTGTTTTTTTTGTTTTTTCATTGTTTTTTTCTGAACAGTATTTACAAGGATCTGACTCTTATTTCCTAGGGAAATTCTGGACTCCCACAAAGTAAGATAATCATCATAGAAAAAGAATGAGCAAGAATAGTATTTGTTCCAGAATTGTACAGTGTTCACCTTAAGTTGATTTTTTTTTCCTCCTTTTGCAATTGAACTGAATACATTTTTCATGCATGTTTTCCAGAAAATAGAAGTGAGTATTAATGTTATTAAAAAGATTATTTTTTTTATTAAAGGCTATTTATATTATAGAAACTATCATTAATATATATTCTTTATTTACATAATCTGTCCCATAGTCATGCATTGTTTTGCACCCCAAATTTTTATTGTTAGTAGCAGCATGGTTAGCTTTTCTCTTGGTCTGTAGACGAGGCTCAGGCACTCTCTCATTAATACTAATTCCCAATGTATAACTACTTAAAGAAAACAGATTGAACTTCACCCTTTTTCCCTTTTATTTCTTTCTGTTTTCACATGAATCCCTCATCTTCCACCCTTTTATAGTTAAGAGTGGTTCAATCATATGAAATAAGTTACCAGAATTAACACAATTTAGGCTATCGTCCTGATTACATAAACCCCTCTACTGAGGTATGCTCATGAATAATACTTTAGAATATGAAAGAATAGAAACCATGAACTTTTTTACCTTTTTAAGCTGTTTATCCATATTTCAATGATAAAAATAGGACGTTAAACTATTTTTAAGATCGTTTCCCAGTGATCAGGTCTCACTTTAACCTCATTAAATCTCATTTGAGCACAGGACACATTCTAAAACTTTTTTTTTTTTTTAAACAATCACCAAGATGTAGGAACTAATGCTAGTCATCACTCTGGAATCTGATGTTTTACTCAGTATTTGAAATGAATGATTAATGTCCTAGGAGATAGCTTTAGCAAATGTCCAGGTGCCACACACACACACACAAAAAAAAAAAATAGTGCAATAATTTACTGACAGTTTTCTAGATTAGGCATATTATTGGAGAACAACTTTATAAAGAGTGCACATTGAATACTCTAGTAAAACAGCATCACTTTAAAAATATTCGTCTACTAAATCAGATACTTATAGTAAAAGTCTTGAATAGTGAACAAGGGACTCTAATACAAATATTCTTAGTATCTGGCTGTTTTAGAACCCTTAAAGGGCATAATTATTGAAGATTTAGGTACTTCATTAAAGCATGTATATAATATTGCCAAGAAGAAAAATAAATTTCAAAATTAGAATTTATTTCTATAAACTGTCTTGGAATAGTTAAGCAGAATTTAAGCTCTGTTTTAAGCAGGAAACCAGATATATTCTTTTGCAGATACAAAATATTTCATAACTTATTTAAACTTCACAATTACATTTTGTGTTGTTTAGCTTATATGCAGTTGATAAATACTAACATCCCATCCTTTTCTATATCAGGGATTGATTATAGGAAAACTCAGTGAAATGGTACAAATCTGAAAATTTGATGGTGGAAACTGAAGAATTAACAGAGAACTGTGTTTTACCCAAGTGCCAAAAAAGCCTTGAGCCTCCTTGCACAAAATTTATGATTTCTCCCTTTTTTCACAGTAGTTCCTATCATTACCCCTCTTTCCCCCAGAACCTCTCCATCATAAAAACACAAGCCCACATAGCTTACTTCATCATTTACATTTATTTTCAAAAATTACTACAACCAAATTAATTCTGTTTGGAGAAGTATAGACAAATTCTGTAAAGAATATAGATTAAGTGATCTAACTAAAAAGAAAGGAGGACAGGAAGTGTTCAGAAAGGCAAGACCAAAAATCAAAAGCTGCATGGGGTGACGAGATCTATTTCCAGGTACTTCAATATCAGAGAGCAGTTGTCATAGATTGGTCAGATCCTAGAGCTGACAATCCTTGTCATTGAATGTGATGTAACTGACTATTGGCTCTACAGTTTCCTTAAGTCACTTGAGAAGTACTCCTTCAATAATTATTTTGGAGGGGAACAAAGCTCCTCTAAAGAAAAAAAAAACTAACTTTAAATACATTGTAGCAAGAAATAATCAATTGTTTGAAAATCATGCTTTAACTTTTTACCATATTCTCAGCTATACAAAAACTTTTTTTTAGGATTTTTAGACTGCTGTTAATTTAAATCTGTTAATCTTATTGTGGGATTTGGTTTTTTAAAAAAGATGTTTCTAATTGGATTTTTTAAAAGAAGAGTGTAATTTGGTTGCTATTTTATGATAGAACCTAAGCCTTTTGTGGTTCTTAGTGTCCTCTGTAAAACTTAGTGTCAAAGTAATCAACTTCAAGTTTTTTCCCTTATATTCTGCTTTATATTACAAGCCCATTAGGAAATGGGAACCTGGTGAATATATAATGAATTGTAAAATATTTTAATGTGTAACTTTTTCAACTGTGAAACTATGACTATTGGTTTTTTGATGAAAACAGCTGCTGATAAAGTATTTTGTGTTAAGTGTAGTTCTTATTAATCAGGAAAATGATGGCTTGATTAGACTGTGTATACCCTCTTGGAGTTTATTTTAAATGAATTGGTAATTTTCATATAGGTAAAACACAGTCCATCTGTGTTCTTTTTCCATCAAAAACTGAGTGGTTTAGCATTATAAGAAAAACTGTGAGCAGCCTATTTTAAAGGCACTATGGAAATGTCACAGCACATGAACTTGGATTTGTTCTTTACATAATGATTTTGTAAATCCGTTTAACTCATATTTGGATCAATAGTCCATGCTTACCATCTCTTTGAAGAAATTTAATATCCAGCAGTATGTTAAAGTTAGGATGTGAACTTATCTGAGTATCATAAATTCTTGTTTCTGTGTCTGCACAAGCCACAGATCTGGGCTGGACCCACACACTCAGAGTCCACCTTAAAAAACTATTTTGATGTCAAAGACATCACTAAACTATTCAGTTTAAAGGCAATATGTGGTGTTAAAAGATTGTGGTGCTTCTCCTATTTATTTAAAGACAACTTTCATACTTCAGATGTTTTTGAGAAGAGGGAGGGGGCAGAACAAGGAGATGTTTAAATGAATTACATTCTTTATATATCTACCCTGTCTGGATGGGGCATATCTAACAGAAGGCTGAAAGTTGTGAGAATATATGTGCAAACCATCAGGGAATCAACTCTTCATTGAGGATGGGATTGTGAAGGCCGAATTATAAAATTCAGCACTGGCAGTATCCTCAGATAATAATTCTTGGTGACAAAATAACAACAGCTGGGCTGTTTTTTAAAGTAAAACACAAAACCATTTTAATTATTACATTAAAAATTGTAAATATATCTTATGTGCCATGGCCTGGGAAGCCTGTTTTCTTTTCTTGTAAAAAAAAAAAAAAATTATTTCCACTCTCTGAAAATATTATGGGATTTAACTCAAGATAACTATGGTCCCAATAAAATTGGATGGGTAACTCTACCTCAGAAGGTTAATGGCAAAAAAAAATTAGATGAGTCACAAATCAATACTTCAGGCTCCTATGTTACAGAAGTTTTGCAAAGCACTGTGTTTATGAAGTCAGAACTTATAAAGTCAGAATTGGCATACCTTTGGTGCAGGAAACATTAAGGAAAGATGTTAGCTAAAATTTAATCATTGTTTAGCCATGTAGAGAAGGCTATAGTGTGAGGAGGTTCATGGTCCTAGGTTCTTGATTTGGCATTTTATGTTTATTTTGTTCTCTTTTCTTCTTTATTCATGAATTTGGTATATGTTTTTTTGTACACATTTCTGTTTGCAAACACTGCTAGACCTAGTCAAGAGGGATCTTTCATAAAAGATGTAAACAAATACATGGTTCTGAATTTCGGAAGAGTTTAAAGTTTATTAGGAGTCTCCCAAGATGATATATTAAATAACCGTATTTATCTCATTCAAGTCCTGCACTTGTTTTGCACTTCTTCCTTACTAGTGCAGTGCCACTCCTTCTTCTTGGTTTTACATATGTTCCTCTTCCAGCCATGATAGTTAGCAGAAAGCAGAAGGTGTGAGCCATAGGGATATTTTCTGACTTGATTTTTACATGACTGCATGTAAGAGGCTTTAGTGGGGAAGTTGGGAGTAAAATTAGTCCATTGTATGTATAACATAGTTAGACTTAACTGGATTTTACTACCAACAGTAGACTCCATTCTTCATGTTGGTAAGTACAGAAAAAAAGTATTAATATACATTTGATAAGACAAGTAAAGTCAGTGAATTTTATCTGCAACCTCATTTTATCTGTCACTACAATAATTTTGTGGCAGAACCAGGTATATTTTTGGTTATTGTTATTTTATTGATCCTTTTAGGTTATTAAGGAGGGAGAAAACCTTGAGTGTTTCATATTAAAATCTCTTTAATAAAACTAAACTTCTTAATTCTAGTACAGATTTCCAAATGTGGTCACAATCTGTTAATTTCATAAGAAAAAGTCCTTCATCAGATTTTAATTTATGCCCTTAGAGTAGATTGAGAACTTGGCCTTTTTCTGACTCTAAAAATCTTTTTGGCTATGGAACCCAAGCTTTAAATTGCAGTTAATGGTTTCAGTCTTTGGACATAAATTTGGTTAAATAAAATGTTAAAGAATATGTCCTTTTGAAACATAACACCTTAGTGTCTTGGGAAATGTAATACTACCAGAAGACTACTGACACATCAAATGTTTATCTTAGATTCCTCAACAAGGAGCTCAAACCACCTTTTTAGCCCCATTAATTATAGCAAGTCTGTTTCTCTATATTTTGTTCATTTAATGAATTGAAGTCCTGTGGTATATTGCATTAGTTCGGAGACAGATGTTTTTAGTGTCCCTTTAACAATGGCCCAAAAAGTATTTGACACAGCAAGATGCATGTGTTATTATATCAAGAATATAGGATAATATAGTATCACTAAATTTAAGACCTCTTCCCAGTCTTGCTGTTCATAGCAGGAAGTTTGGCCTGTGACTGCACTTATTGTTTGTGCTCATCAGAAACTGTCAATGTCTGCTTTTCTTTAACTTTGCAGTCTGTAACATCACGCTGTTTATTAAAAAAAAAAAAATTACCTTGATTTGTGTCCAAACAATCTTTAGTGTATTATGTAAACAAAGAGCTGTGATAATTCTATCTTGCCATTTCTTTTGAAAAGCAAACCAGTGTTGCTAATAATCAAAATTTAGCTGAATTTGATTGAAAACCTGAAACTATTATGCCTTAAAAACCAATTTTTCTAACCTGGTAAAGTGATAAATATTAGAGAAATGTATGTTTAGATATTAACTTCCTTTAACCATAAATAATTTTATACTTCTTCTTTAAGCAGACATATATGTATGTACACACAGGTATGAATGTATGTATGTATATATATATAGGTAGATGGACTTTTTTCTTCAACAGTTGAAGACCAGAACTTAAAAGTGAAGTTAGAAACAAGCTAGTTTTGCTTTCCGTTATCATTAAACATTGCAAAGGGTAAGTCTGGGCTTTTCTTTGACCAGTAATGCACATGGGCATTAATATTTAGTATTTATAAGCATTTAAGCATATCATTGTTTAAATTCTATTGATTTGCCAAACGGTTTTAACTTTTAAGTGACTTTGCTCTCCAAATATAATGTCTGTCTTTCCTGGGATGAACCAAGTAACCACATCTGAATGAAAAACAATAATTGAAGCATATGCTTTGGGTTTCAAATTGGTAGTTTTGAATTTTTTTTAGAAAAAAATCACAAGAATTGCACATTGTTGAGGCGAAAGCCAAATTTATTAAGAAATAGAGATGCAACCTTCATTTAAGAAAACTACAGAATTTTCTTTTACAGAATGATTTAAAATAGACATGCATACATATACTTTATTTCAGGGAAGTCTTTGGTATACAGAATGATTTTGTCATAACTTTAAACCACAAGTTCTGAACCTTAAATGTGTGTCACATTTAGCCAAGAGAATGGGGTGGGGGCAGAGGAATTCTCTCTGGCAGCACTCTTCCCTACCCTCTATATCCATTGTCCAATGAAAAGTACCAAGGCTGACTATAGGAACTCAAGGGTTTTTTTTTGTTGTTGCTTGTTTGTTTGTTTTTAGCTACAAACATTTTTGAGCACCACTACTCGATGTCAGAAACTAAGCTTTGTGTTTCATTGACTCTACCTTGTTTATGCCTTAAAAACATGAAGACATTATCCCTGTTGTGTACATGAGAACTCAGAGGTTGAGACAGCTTTTCAGATTTGCCCCAGAATATGCATCTAAAAAGTTGTTTGGTAGCCTACAAACTGAAATGAATCCTACTCTGAGACATGTTCTCTCTACCATTCCATACAAAAAAGAAGGTGAAACATCCAAGATCATTTGTTACTGGTCAAGTCAACATTGCTCTGTTAAATTCAGTTTATTTACTAGTTTGTGGCTTGAAATTAATTGGTAAAAGGCATTAAACTGATTCAGAATCAGGAGTTTAGAGTTTGATTACATCTACACATAAAAGTTGCTTCAAAAATCTGACTTGTGGGCTGGGATGGAGCTCAGTGGTAAAGCGCCTGCCTAGCACACATGGGGCTCTAAGTTCAACCCCCAGCACCACTAATAATACTAAAAGTCTTATTCTGTTGTCTATTATTTAAGACTTTTTGATAAAATTTTAAAGATATTTTGAGGCACACTGGAAAATCAAATTCTTTTTTTTTTTAATTGTAGATGGACACAAAGCTTTTGTTTATTTTTATGTGGTGCTGAGAATCGAACACCGTGCCTCACACGTGCCAGGCAAGTGCTCTACTGCTGAGCTACAACTCCAACCCACAAGCAAATTCTTTTCAACTCAATCTGGAAAGCACTTGTGGGAAGAATCTTGTGACACCATTAAAGTACAGACAACTGCTAACTAGCCCTGCATCGCTTTCCTGCAGTGTGGATTATCTGAAGTAGACGTTGAAATCCAATACAGCTTCTCTTCACTTTACATTTCTAGTCATTTCTCCTACTCCTGTCAGAATGTGCACAGAGTAAAGTGAGCTAATGAAAAGCATAATAAACTAGAAAAAAATGTTGTGGTACATGGCAAGGTTAAATATAATTAAACTTAGCTCTCTGGAAAGCTTTCCTCTTTTATCATGAATGGTGAAAAAAACTAAAAAATGGTAGGTCCACAGTTTATTAACCATGATACATTTTTTTTTAAACCAGGGATTAAGCCTGAAAAGGTTTACCTATTAAGCTACATCCCCATCCCTTTTTATATTTTATTTAGAGACAAGGTCTCGCTGAGTTGCTTAGGGCCTTGCTAAGTTGCTGAAGCTGGCTTTGAACTCATGATCATCCTGCCTCACCTTCAAGGATCACAAGCATGCACTACCACACCCAGCTAATTTTTTGTTGTTGTTGATGGACCTTTATTTAATTTATTTGTATGTGGTGCTGAGAATCAAACCCAGTGCCTCACGTATGCTAGGCAAGTGCTCTACCACTGAGCCCAACACCAGCCCCTCATTTTTGTCTTTCTATAAAGAATGAACTATTCTTTGCCATGTTTTTTTTTTTTTTTTTTTTTTTTTTTTTTTGGTACTGGGAATTGAACCCAGAGACACTTAACCACTGAGCCATATCCCCAGGCTTTTTATTTCTTATTTTAAGACAGGGTCTCGCAAAGTTGCTGAGGCTAGCCTTGAACTTGTGATACTCCTGCCTGGGCCTCCTTAGTCACTGGGACTGCAGGTGTGCATCACCACACACCACTAAGGATTTTTTTTTTTGGTAGAAAAATTATTGCGTGAACTATACTGCATAGAGTTAGGCTGACAGTCAAGTGCTCAGTAGATACCTTGGTCATTTGTTTCCATACTGACAAATTCTAGCAAGGGCTAAACTTAGATACTAAGAATAGCTACCTTGAACTCATTTTGCCCTGTATGCTTCCTTGGCTCTTATGTGGAAGGAGGTTTGGAGTAGAAAGGAGGTGAGTCTGTACATATTTACAGAATGAATAAATTACACAATGAAGCTTTTAAAAAAATGTTTCCCACATAAAAATGCAATGTGTAACTTTGGGTGGTTAGACTAATTGGCAGGCAACCATACTTAGGTCTTCAACTGCAGAAATTTCACTGTGTGAGGCCAGCGCTTTACTTTGGCCACTGTCTTAACATCTCTCTGCTCCTTCCTTTGCTCCTCCCCAAACTCCACAATTGGATTTGCTGCTGTCCTATAGAGTGTACTCTGCCACTTGCCTGATCTCTGACTGAAGTGCTGTATTTTCCACACTGTAGGGACAGGCACTGTGTCAGTCTCACCATGCCAACAATCAGGGCACCACCTAGCAAAGTCAGTGAGGGCCAGAATAAACAATGGAAGACAACCATGTGGTTGTACTTTTTTATAAGAATGACATCTTCAGATTGTCCATCTGGATAGTAGAAACATGAAAACGGGGTTCCATTTTTGTGATCGAAGAATTCCTTTATGTCCATGGCACTGTTGAGCAAATGGTTCCTATCTCGATGGCACTTAGGTGTATAAAAACACTAGGAATATGGAGGAGAAAAAAGACAAGGACACTGTCATTAATACCAAGCAACAGCTTCAATTCTAAAGTAACTTCAGGCTTAAGCTTGTAGTGAAAAATTTCAGTCTTAGAAAGTGGTTAAATATTACATAGTTCATAGGGAAAGGTTGACAGGAGATTACAGTGAAATGGCCATTTCCCAGTGCTAAGAAAAAAAGTTTAAAGTTCATTACCATATCCATTAGGAACTTAGGGGACTGTGTTAGGGACTAAAAATGTTTGAGACCTTAAAAATTATTGCATCCAAAATAGAAAACAACTCATCAGATTGAAATTAGTGCTTTAAGACATCAAAATGTAAATGTCAATCTAATGCAACTTTTATAATTAAGTGTATATATAAATTTTAAGTCTTTTTAAGTGGTTGTATAAGTTATTAAAAGTATAACAATCCATTAAATTTAATAAGAAATCTTGTTTGACTGACTTAAGGTCAACCTTGAGTACATTTTAACATTTGTTGATGAGAGTGTGAGCTCCCCATGTAAGACTGCCTACTGAAAACTGCTCAGCCTACGAATTTCAGATACCAAAACTGGAATAATGCCTCTCCTTTCTGTATACCCTATTTGTCCTCCAAGAATTCTGTAAGCTTCATTTATCCTGATTTGACCACTTTGGAAATGTTTGCTTGAAGGAAACAGATTTTTCTCTACAGATGGCTCTAGGTTCTGCACCCTGCTAGGACAGTCTGTCATGAAAGGGTGGTTGTTCTAAGAAATCTATTACATGAACTTTACATTACCTTGGAATTGATCTGAACAGCCTCTTCATTATAATGCAGCAGAGCTTTCTGACCTGAATGGGTAAGGTTCACAAACACCTGAAGACATGGGTACTTCCCCTGGCCTTGGCAGTCCATGCCACAGCTGAAAGCACAGTCCAACCAGTCCTCCATGATGTGCGTGTGGATGGTAGTGCAGTTCGACTCTTTGCGCTGAGTGCTTCAATATGAAAAAATAAATACTCATCTACTAGGAATTTTAGTTTCATATTTCTAATGTAGTAGCCCAAGGCACTTGTCTATTTAAAGGTTATGATGCAGGATCATTACAGAAGCCACGTAATGATCAAGGAGGAGAGTGTAGAGGACGTAGAGATGGGATAAACAGCAGCAGATGGCCCAGTTCCATCTCAATTCTGATCCTACTGACATTTCTCACTATGCCAACCCTAAGATCCCCTTAGATCAATGGTTTTCAAAGCTCAGAATTACCTGAATGTGTATGGTAGAATTTGTGTACTCCAGGGCTACACTCCCAGAGATTCTGTCTTAATAGGTCTGAGGCCCAGGAGTCTGTGTATTTAACAGTATTTAAGATACAAGTATTTGGAGAAATAGACTAAGTAGTGTTACCCTAAGTGCTGTGTCACCAAGATTCACACTGTACACCCACTAGTTGTCCTCATAACTGCCTTTGGAAGAGTCAGCTATAAGGCTTAGTCAACATAACCTGCAGAAAGTTCTGCTAACAAGACATTTCCATATACCCACTCTGCTTCCAAACAAACAGCCAAATGCAAGCATACAAGGAATATGTATTATAATACCTACCACATTTTTGTTCTCTGAAGTTCTTTTAAAGTCAGGAACTACATCTTGTTCATCTTTATGTCTCTTAAAGTGTAAGGCATAATGCCTCTCCCATCCTAAATGCTCCATGAGGATTGTACTTGAAAAATAGTCTTTGAGAATTTGCACATGTACTACATACACAAAATGTCTTAGGTGCTATGGAAGTGGTAGGTAGATAAAGTCCCTGCCCTGAAGATTTTGTAGTAGTATTGAGAAAAGATCTATACAGATAAAATAATTAGAGAACAAGAGAGAGTAAATGAGACCAAGAGGAAATGCTGGAATTGTGTGGGACCAGCTCGTCATGCAGCCTCACACATCTAGGTGGGTCTCTGTTTATTTCCTCTTGCCTGAAACAAGAAGTTAGATTAGCAAGCCTTAAAGTCAGAATGCTTGAAATGCATTGTTTAGTTAGATTCATATCACACTTCTTAATACCATTGACCATAAATAATCATTTTTCTTTATTAATATAATAAACTGGAGACACACTATGCAGTTTAACCTGGCTGACCTCCAGGGGCTATGGAAGTGGTAGGTAAATAAAGTCCCTGCCCCTCCAGAATAAAAACCCCTAGAAGTGGGGCAGTGAGAGCAGTGTCGGGGTGCTGTGACATAAAGGTGTTCAGGGCACTTAGCCTGCTTTTGCTGGTTTCTAAGAGGGAGGACAATGAAGCCCAGGAGCCAGGACTTCAGCAGCCTCCTGAAAGTGTTCCAGAAAATGTTCTCTTCTGGAACATCTAGAAGGGAATGCATCCCAGCCAAAGCCTTGGTGTTAGCCCTGTGACACCTGAGTCTGACTTCTGACCTACAGAGATGTGAGATGATCAATTTGTGTTAAGTTAACCAAGCTTATGGTAACTTGTTACAGCGACAACAGAAAACTAATACACTCAAAATACTGCAAACCGTAAAAAAAAAAAAAAAAAAAAAATGGAGGTAGACCTAGAAAATTTGTTGGGCAAGTGAAAATCAAAAATAGCAAATAAAGTTCTTTTATAGGTTTAGCTCTGGCCTGCTGCTTCACTAAATTAACCTATCTACTTAACCTAGGCATCTTGGGATGCTTTCTTATCTCTTAGAACCTAAGTTCTCTACAGCTGGAGCAAATACAAACAATATGATTTGAATCTCCCCTTGAAAAGTTCAAAAAGCTCTGCTATAAAGAGTACGACATTCTGTCCTACACACAAGAGCCAGGTTAGAACCTCTCAACTGGAACCAAGAACATATTTTTGGGCAGGGGCCACGGGACTAGGGATTGAACTCAGAGGTACTTGACCACTGAGCCACATCCCCAGCCCTATTTTGTATTTTTTTTAGAGACAGGGTCTCACTGAGTTGCTAAGCACCTTGCTTTTGCTGAATCTGGCTTTGAACTCACAATCCTCCTGCCTCAGCCTCCCAAGTTGCTGGGATTACAGGCATGCACCACTGCACCCAGCTTGAACCAAGGACATATTTAGGACTAAAAAGTAAACACATTCTTTCAATAGCATTGTGGGTGTATTTGTCTGCAGCTGTGACAAAAATCTATCATCACTGGTGGGAAAATGAGGGATCAAGATCATGAGGATGGGTAAGAACTACCAAAGTCTTCCTAACTACCATATTTTCTGGAGCAGAACTCTTCGAGATGGCACAAGATGAGAGATATGAACTCATTGCCCTTAAGCATTCACTTTATTACTTTAACCAAACAATTTCCAGAAATACTTAGAAAAGTAAACCTTAAATATGAGCAACAGTTTGGTGCCAGATTACAGGAGGTATCCTCAACCCATCTCCCAAATAGATCACATTTTTAAAACTAATCTGGTCTGCCTGTGTGTGCATATTCATTCTCTCTCTCTCTCTCTCTCTCTCTCTCTCTCTCTCTCTCTCACACACACACACACACACACACGCACACTTACACAGATTCATTCAAATATGTAGATATATGTAATTCAGTTAATTTTTAAAATAGATGAGAAAAAATGGAGTAACAGGAAAAGGAGGAGAGAAAACAATAAAGTCAGAATTGAGGTACAAGCATCAAACCGAAAACCATCAGCGATCCCTTCTAGTTATAAGAACTGAGCTCTGAGCTTCCTAGCAGCCAGCTAGATGTATGATTCCTGGCTTCTACTGAATAAAAGTGAGCTGGTTGATTAGGAACAGAACCAGTTCTTCTGGTCCTAATGTCAGAGAGAAAATTCCTTGGAATACTTATAATAGCAGCACCATATGTTTAGTGGATGGTGCCCTCTGCCTTTTCCCCTATCACTGGTCACTCAGGAATGGGAGGAGATGAATCTGGAAAAAAAAACACACAAGTAGGCCACTCACTCCCTCTCCCTCATTGGACTCCTAGGCCTTCTTTTCCCATTCTCCCTGGGCCTTCATTGCCCTTTCAATGTCCAAAGTAAAAGCATCCTTTGCTTTTACATGCATTTAATGGGAAGCAAGTTTAAAGAAAGGAAACTAATATTTATTGAGCAACTATTATGGAGTTGGATAGAGATTGTCAAATTCAAAAAACTTTCATTGTTTCCACAGGGAAGGATTAATATTTCCCATTTCCCTGAGAAATGACATTTTTAAATGGAGAATTTGTGACTTAAATAAATATCTAAGTTGTAGATTATGTTTGGAGGTGTATGGAAATGAGAGATTGAGTAGGGGAAGGATATCTTCCACATTCTTACCACTTTATTCCCCAAACCCAGCAGTTTTCCCGCAGAAAGAGAAGGAAAAGTAATTGCACCTTCAGAAGAGCAGAAACTGGAGAAACCTACGCCAGCCTTCCCAGCTTTACCACTGTGCCTGGGTAGGATCTGAATTGTAAACTCAGGATCTCTGACTCCGATTCTTACCTGAGCATGAAAGGCTTTAGGATGGTTATTCCAAGCAAGAAGAACATTAGGATGGAGAAGCCCATCATTGCATACCCTAGCAACATGGCTCTGTCCTCTCCAGCACTGGAGGGCAGCTTCCTGTGCACCTCTGGTGGGTCTCCGTCCTTATAGTCTTTATATCTCTTCTTCACCGAGGTAGGAAAGGCTGTCCTTTGGAGGAAATGATGGGGGAGATTGAGACAAGCTCAGAAACAAGTGGCATTTACCAACATAGGGAGTAGGAGGATAATCCCATTTGCAACCCCTGAAGGCTATGAACAGGTTCAATGCAACACAACAAGATTCCCCTTTCAGAGCTTAGTGGGAAGTCCATCTAAATAAGCTTTGATGGTGTTCTAGGATATATTTTTAAAGATATAGTAACAAACAGGTCTGAGTAACGTGGTCTGGTAAACGGCTTTAGGGAATCTATGTAATCAATGACTAGTAAAGAATTACCTAAAAGTATTTTTTCTAATTTTGTTTTATATGAATAAGTGTTATAAACTAATTTATCTTTCAGGGATATTGCACATCCTTTCTGAAAATATTTTTTACATTCTCTTATGGATTCTGTCTGGTAAGAATGACTGAGAAGCTTCACTTTTGGAATTAAGAGCATCCTGAAACAGCAGGGTTTGTCTTATTCTTTCATATTCGCATGTGGGCAAGGCAGCACCCCACCAACTGCACTCCCAGACCCATGGCTCAGCCGACTATGATTTATGAAGTTGTCCCTGCTGTCTTCTCCTGTCCACTTCTCCTCTCCATCTGCTCGCTGCTCTGCATAAGTGTCCCTGAGTTTCTTCTCTCTGCTCTGCCTGAGAGCCTGCTGCAACAAAGGATGTGATAAATTACTTCACAGTGGGGTGTCTAGTGAACGGTAAAGTCCAACACAAAGGTCACAAACTGGTGGCCCATGGACAGCATCCAGCCTATGGATATATTTTATTTGGCCTTCTCTCTGGATTCTTTTATTTATTTATTTATTTATTTACTTATTTATTTTAATGTGGGATTAGTTGCTAACACTTTAAAATCATGAGATTGCCCATGAAAATGCTGATTTCTGACTTTTGAAAAACATCACAAGCTACATTCCTACATTCAAACAGTTGAGGCCGGGCCAACCAGTGGCTGCCCTGTGGGCAGACTGTATTCTCCAGTTTGCTACAGTCCCAGAATTTCACATGATAGTGTCACTAATTTGCCATCCCCTGCTCAGTAGCCATTTGAGTCCTAGGGATGGTTCTATTTTAAGAGGCTTTATGAATTGATAAACCAAATAAATGCTTATAATTGTAAAAACTTAGGCTCCATAAAGCTGCCTGAAAACCTTACTAAATTTTGAAGCCAAACAAAAACCTTATCAAGGTTTTTTTTCCCAAAAAAATTATATTTCATATTTTATTCCATGTCCTTGCCCTTTCCTCTCCTTCACCCCTGCAGCATGTTCAGCCTCTAAACAGAGCAAGAGGAATGTCAGGCAATCCAAGGTGCCTTGGGAGCCCCCACGGGGGAGCAGTTGCTTCTAAAGATTGCCACTTTGGAGGATAAAGAACTTTATAACCTCCTTTGATACTTCATTTATCCTCTATCCTTCTACTCTGAGAGAATGGACACAGAAAAAAAAACCTTCATAAAATTTGAGACAGAATATTTTTGATTTATCAGCAAATCCAATATCTTAGGGAAAGAGTTTTAGCCCTAAGGTAAAGTTTGGGTATTTTCTGTAGTTTCCAGTACCAAACACCCTGCATGTTCCCTTTGCTCTGACGGTGGACATCAATTGCTCTGTGTCATAAGGTATGTGGAGATTTATTGCAAGATACCCTTGGAATCCATGGATGAAGAGGCCTATAATGAGGCCTCCTGGCATTTCTAATACATTCACTAAATATGCCCAATTATAGTGGTGTGTTGCAGGGAACTGGCATAACCTGTTAGATTCTGATCTAAGGTAGAAATCAGAACTGCTAGGACACTACAACTGCTTTCCTATTTTCAATATTTCTGTCTACTTTGTTCTAAGGCTTTCTGAAAAATTGGCAACCTCATAAATCCCTTGTAAAGAAGTTATATCATGTTGTGGGGAAGGGGTATCATAAAGTAGTCATTAAAAATGAACACATATGCTAAAGATAGTGGCTGTAAACCTGTAATAGCAGCTACTTTTGGGGCTGAGGCAGGAGGATCATGAGCTCAAAGCCAGCCTGGGCAACTTAGAAAGATCCTGTCTCACAATACAAAATAAAAAGGACTGGGATGTGGCTCTGTGGTAAATAAAGGAAAGGGGGAGGGAAGGATAGGATTACATAAAGATAAAGGTAAGATCAGTAATTAGAAGAAGGAGATCAAGAGACAGAGTGGAGGGATGGGTAAGGGAGGGGCAATGCAGAAAGAATTAAAAAAAAATCATGTTATGTGCATATATAAATACACAACGGGAACTTTACCTTTATGCATAGGCAGAAAGAACAGATCAAATATAAATTAATAGATGAGCAAAAGGCAGTCTAATAGAGAAACGAGAATGGGGGAGTACAAAAGTGGGGGATCAAAAACTGAAATCAAATTCCATACATATATGAACCTGTCAGGATGAACCCAAATACTCTGTATGACTATAAATCTCTAACAAAGAAAAAAAGAACCCTTGGGTTCCATTTCTAGTACTGAAATAAATAAATAAATATGGTTTTTTAAAAATTAAGTTAAATCTGTATCTAACATTTAAAGAGTAATATTAAATATTAAAGAGTAATAGACTCTAAAATATGAATAAGCTAATATTAAATGAAACCAAATTCTAGTAATGAAAACTAAAGGAGTTGAAAGTAAAAACTTTGTGGATATATTTAATAGTTAATTAGATACATCTGAAAAGATCATTAGTAAACAGAAAATGGATCTGAAAAACAGCAGAAGTGTAATTCACAGGGATTTTTAAGTGGAAAATATGGAAGGAAGGTTAGGAGACATAGAAGACAGGTTGAAAAATGCCTTACATTATAGCTGTTCAGAATTCCAGAAGAAGATAAGTTAGAAGCAATATTTTAAAGAGAAAGTAAAATTTCAGAACTAACAAAAGACCCAGTCCACAGATTCCAGGAGCCCTGTGGCATAAAATAAAAAGAAATTCACACCTAGACAGAGTCACAGATATATTGCACTCTTACAAAAATGGGGGGGGGGGCGGCGATACTTAACAGAAGCCAGAGAAAAAGACAGTATGATTTCAAAGGACTGATGAGCTGAGAGCTTACTTCTCTATAACAAGAATCCAAGCCAGAGGACAGGAATGTTGTCAATACACTGAGACAGAGTAACTACAAGTTTCTATACCCAGCAAAAGAATTTCTCAAGCCCAAGTGTGAAATAAAAAATTTCAGACACCCACGAAACTGAGTTTGCCCTCCTAGACTCTAAAGGAAAAGGTCAAGTATTTACTCTAAGCTGAAGGAGTTGAAAGTAAAAACAGTTCTGTCCAGGAGGCAGAACTGAGATTTCATCAGAAATGAAGAGCAAATACAGGAATAAGTAAGTAAAGACATTGACTCTAAAAAATAATAATATTCTTTAGTTTTATTACTATGGAAATGTTTTGGACACTTAAAATACATGACAAGAGCATATAATTTGGAGGGGGTAACAATGCTAAAGTGTTCTAAGTGGCTAGAAGTTGGGTGGGTGGAGATAAAGATATTGAATTTACTTTGATAAGTTCTGGTCTGCATATTAAATTTCTGGAGTAGCCCCTAAAAGAATAGAAATAGGAGACATAATTTCCAAATTATTAGAAGGGGAGAAATCAATCCAAAAGAAAGCAAAAAGGAAGAAAAATCTCTCATGGAAAAGGCAGGACAAATAACACAAATAACCTGATAGAATAATGTTATTCTATCAGTATATCAGAAATTATACAAAATCTAAGAAGATTAAAAGATGTTAAAAGATGAAGATTGTCAGACTAGATTTAAATGTTTATATTTTTACAAAAGACACATCTGTGTATTCACAGATACAGAAAAGCTGAGATTCAATACACAAAGTGTAACAAAAAGCAAGCCGATATGAACCTTAAGATTAAAGGCTTTGTTAGAAGTAACGATAGTAACATTGATTAAAAAAACTTTGATTCACCTGGAAGATATAACAATTCTAATTTGTATATACCTAATAGCATCACCTCATTGACAGAACTATAAGAAGAAATAGACAAAATCCACTGTCAGATTATGAGATATTTTTATACACTCTTTCATTGTAATTGAGTAATTGATAGCTCAATCAGAGAAGTCAATAAGGAAAGAGGTCTGAGCAAAGTAATTAACAAGCCTTACCTACATAATAGATATTACTGTCCCCTGTAGAATGCAGTCTTCTCAAGCACATAGGAAACATTTATGAGACCTGACCACAAACTTAGCTGTAAAGAAAGTCTCAAAAACTAGCAAAGGATTCATGAGAGCAACATGCTTTTGTATGCTCATTGTATGAAACTCAGAAAATATAAGTCTAAGAAAGAGGAAAAACTAACCCCACAATCCTTTAGAGGTAATTCCTGCTCATTTGCTAGGTTATTCCTACCTTTTTCTATATTGTTTCAAATGAATGCAGTCACACTAGATAGAGTTTAGGGGTTTTAATCTTATTCACTTGTTTCCCATGTCATTAGTTATTCTTTGTAGCTATTCTATTGGATACACAATATTCTATCAGGTGGATATTCCATAATTTCTTTAACCATGTCTTCATTGTTGGATATTATTACATTGTTTCCAGTTCTCAGAGACCACAAACAGCCCTATAATTAACTTTGTGATGTTTACCAACACCTTTCATCCAAGGATCTCAAAGCACTTACAAATGATCTAATTCTCTCTCAAGTCAGTGATATCAGGGAAGGCAGTTTTACTTCTTTGTGCTAGTAATACATCTCCATTTCTAACCAAGGTATTTCCTGGAAATGTTTAGTCATAGTCAAGGCAGTGTCCACCCTGCTGGTCCTCTGCATAGCAGGTAGGACCGACTTTCCCACCAGACCTGAGCACAGCACAGTGCATTCTGGCTCAGCCTGAGGCAAACTCAATGACAAAGCTCGAACACGCTCATCTGGGTGTGAGCAGGACAGAAGCCAGCAGCCTCTCCCTCCAACACTGAAACTTGTGCAAGAAGTGTTCCTTAGAAACATGCTGTGGCTCATCAAACTTCATAATTCACCCAGTACTTACTTCACATGCGTATGTAACTCCTAAGCATGGGGTACATTAAATTAATATCTCCCTGTAATTTGTTTTTGTTGCAGAGGAGACTTTAGCAATTACTGTTACCCTTCCATCCTTTAATGACAAAATTATTTAACAACTTCTTTTGAAACAGCAAAGGAGGTTGAGTAAAGTCAACATGGTTCATCAAGTTCATCAAGAGGAAAGAGCAATCATTCAATTGTGAGTTTCGGAAAAGAAAATGAGATGCTACCTTGCTTTGGAGTTAATATGACTCTCTTTATATCTAGTTAATTGGGCTGTGAACAGGGCATTAAAAACTTGTTTTCTTGCATGTTTGCGTTTGATCATTTGCCATGCAGTGATTCACTTTAATTGTCTACTCATAAAAGCATTTGTTCATTCCTAGGAGAGAAGAATCGCTTTCTCCTCCATGCTCTGACCGTTCCTTCATCCCCAGACCTCACCCAAATCCCTATATCTCCCTCTTCTCCTGTTTTTTCTCCCTCAAATATCCACCAGCGTAGCTAGAAGATAGTGGTGTAGATAAATGTGATGACATTGCAATCTTCAGTGCTTCCACTTTTTAAGCTCCAACTCCACTTGAACCTCTAACAAGGTCATCCAACTTTTCAGATAGTGGACTTGGTTGTGACTAGTACCCCTCCCAAGAAAATGCTGGCATGCTTTTACTCTCCTTGTTTGAAAACCCTCAGGCATTGCTCCTCTCTGTTTTGGTGACCACTGCTGACTGCCTCACCACTCCAACCCCAGGGTAGTGGGGAGTGCCACTTCCCTAAGGGCTCTCAGCTCCTCTGCTCATCATTCCCCTGGGGAGAAAGGGGTGCAGAAAAATGATTGATCTTACTTCCCCTTTAAGGAGTGGAAGAGGGTGGCTAATAACAATAGCTAAAATGTACACAAAATCTGATGATCTAGTTTAGAATGCTCGGAGAGTAGATCACTGTGCTAGGGCATGTGGGCTCTCTTCCTATCTCCATTTCAGAGATAAGAGATGGAGACAAGTTAAGTCACTTGCCCAGAGCCATACACCTAGTTAAGTGGAGCTGGGCACTGAATCCAAACAGTGACTGGAAGGACTCACAAATAGGACCAAAATACTGGTGTCATTTCCTCATTCCTTCATTCAACCAAGAGATATTGACTGCGCACTAACTATGTGCTGGGCCATATTCTAGTTCTGGGATCCAGAGGGGGAGTTATTGGTCTCCAATAACTTGAAAGCTAGGGAGGAATTCAACCAGAAAGGATGCAGCCTATGATGTCAGCATTGCTGGGGAAGCCTCAGAGGTACCCTGAGAGGCATGGCAGGTGGGCGTTTTCAAAGCACAAACACCAAACCCAACCCCCAAATTTATTACAGCCAGTGGCTCACACCTGTAATCCCAGTAGCTCTGGAGGCTGAGACAGGAGGATTGAGATTCAAAGCCAGCCTCAGCAAAAACGAGGCATTAAGCAACTCGCTGAGACCCTGTGTCTAAATAAAATACAACATAGGGCTGGGGATGTGGCTCAGGGGTTGAGGGCTCCTGAGTTCAATCCCCAGTACAAAAAAAAAATATTATAGCCCCCCTTTTAACAATTTCTTCCATAAGATGCCCGTTATAGGCTGAGAGAGTCTGGTGGTAACTTACCTCCCCTGGCACCTCCGGCTGCCCTGGAGTGTAATTTGAACGGGGATGCTGAAGGGCTGCATGAGGCCAGGGGGCTGGCCAAAATGAACTCCCTTCACCTGAGTCATGCCCTCTGAGGGCACAAGAAGGGTGAAGCCTAAGCATCAACGGAAGTGGAGTCCCAAAGGGAGTCCCCAACCCCCAGCTTAGCAACAGCCATCAGAAGCCCTGGGCTTCCAGAGTTGCCAGCCTGCTAGAACTTTCCTGGAGAGGTGGGAACTCGGGGCAGCCTGGCCCGCGCAGCTCTGCAGATTCTGGCAAGGTGACGCAGTCACCCCTAGATGCTCAAAAAGAACATGCTTGGTTTTCTACAGACTTCTCCCCACCGGTGCCTGGTGCCTGCCTCCACCTTGTCACTGGTGTTTCCGCTTCGCCAACTGGGTACATCGTCATAGAGACCAAAACACTTGTGGAAAGTTCTGAGACCCAAGGGGCCCTATATAATTGGTGAGGGACATACTCCGTTCAAGGTTTATAAGAAGAGGAAATCTTTGGCTTTGGCCACGTTTCCTTTTTTCACAAACTGTCTTAGCATGCAGGCTTAGAGAATGTTTTTTCCAGTTAATTGCATGTTCTAGTTAAGAGAATCTGCTTTTATACCATAGGTGACTTCCCCAAGTTTCAAGACTCAAAAAGCTATAAAATAATTTGCTATTAAAACTATCTCAAGGTCTAAAAAAGCACTATATGAAACATCATTTTATCTTTGATGATTTAATAGGCATTTGAGGCTGGGCATAGTGGCACACGCCTGTAATCCCAGAGGCTAGGGAGGCTGAGGCAGAGGATCATAAGTTCAAAGCCAGCCTCAGTAACAGTGAGATGCTGAACAATTTAGGGAGGCCCTGTCTCTAAATAAAATAGAAAATAGGGCCGGGGATGTGGCTTAGTGGTAGAGTGCCCCTGAGTTCAATCCCTGGCGTGAACATACACACACACACACACACAAAAAAAAAAAGCATTTGAGGATCTTTTCATACTCCCAAATTATGAATGTTAATTACCATTACACAGCGTTGTTTCCTGAGATGTGGATGATAAGAGTGTCAAATAAACTTTTGCTCTGTTTGATTTTTTGTTTTGTTTTGTCTGGCTTTGTTTTTTGAACCTAGGGGTGCTCTACCACTGAACTGTATCCCCAACCCTTAGTATTTTTTATTTTGAATCAGGGTCTAAGTTGCTGAGGCTGGCCTTGAACTTGTAATCCTTCTCCCTCAGCCTCTCAAGCCACTGAAATTACAGGCATGTGTCTGGTTTGAGGTATTTTTGAATCAAGGCAAAATTATCTTAACATTCTCCAAAATTTTGGTGCAAACAAGAACATGAGCATAATCTCATATGTAAATAAAGCTATATAAACTGTTACTTGAAGACATTTTAACATCATTTAATGAAAAATATTTATTTGTATATTTCTAATTTGTGTAATTATTCTGTTAAGAGTTGTGGACTAGATCCTCTGTAAGATATTAGTTTTTAAAGAACTGAAGCAATTTAGAATAAAAACTGATAGCAACTAGAGTTTTTTCTTCTGCCTGGTACTTCCACCTAAGCCCTTATATATGACAGCTTTTCTTGTTTAGATTTAGATGTGCTTATAAATTTTCCTGAAACATGAAACAACTCCCTGGGAAGAAGTGAATGATTTGCTGCTACTTTTAGGTAACTGAGTCAAACTCAGAAATATGGTAATTTTTTCAGCCAAAGAGAACCTTTCTTTTTTTTTTCTTTTTCTTTCCTTCAGAGGGGCTGTGACCTAGACAAAGCTGGTCCCAAACTTCAGAGCTGAAGCAATCCCCTGCCTCAGCCTCCTGAGTGGCCAGGACTACAGGAGTACCCTACCATACCCCTTTCTTTGTACCCAGATCTTGTACCTGCCTTTATAGGAACCTCCAAGTCATTCCTTTCTTAAAGCTCTAGTTCCTTTGAAAGAAATAGTCATGCACAATCTTTAAAAATTCATTGTAAAGTGGTATGAGAAAACAAAGTAAGTTTTAAAAAATCACTTTTACTCCTAATTTACAAGTTCAGATGGGTCCTGATGGATTCTTTTTGGATCCTGACGAGTGTGGGCCTAGTTATTTCATGGATGTAGTTGTCACAACTGGCTGTCTGAAACTGACCTCAAATCTAGCTGTGTATGGTTCTGTCTTTTCTTTCTTTCTTTTTTTCTTTTCTTTTTTTTTTTTTTTGCTACTGGGAATTGAACCCAGGGAAAGTTACCACTGAGCTACACTCTCAGCCCTTTTTCCTTTTTATTTTCAATTTTGAGACAGGGTCTTACCAAGCTGCTGGGGATCTAGCTAAGTTTCTAAGACTTACCTCCAATTTGCCATCTTCCTTCCTCAGCCTCCCCAGTTGCTGTGATTACAGGAATGCACCACCATGCCCAGCTCCCCTCTTCCTTTTAAAATACGTCAAGATAATGAGAAGGGTTAACATCACCCCTTGTCCTTTGACTGTTTTCCTTCACTTGGTAACGTCTGGCCACTCTGTTCACCAGTGTACACCTACTCCCCTCTCAACCCATATCAAAGCCCACTCCACACACATACTTCATCCAGGACTCTTGGCCCATGTCGAGAGAAGAACCCAGAGCAGTGGGTATGAATTGAAATCCCCATGTGTCTGTTTGGCAACACAGCAAGGCTAAGCCAGATAGAGTGTAGTGATGAGAGACACCTGGCCCTCCCATCAGGATTCCTGGTCCCCAAGAGTCTCTCCTGAGCTCCCAGCCTCCTCCTTCTTCTGATTCACTGGCAACCACATCCTGCTCCATAAAACAACAACAATAAGTCATCTGTCAACCCACGATGTGGGTCTCTAGCCCTGAAACTTTGAGTACTAGGTTCAAATCCAAGCTTTGTAACTTCAAGTAACCCTTTAAAAATTTTCTGCCCTGGTTTTCTTCAGTTAAAAGGGAGGAAATAAAAACTCAGCATGAGCCATATGAGTACGCTAAGTCCAAGTGTCCATAAACTGTTGTGAAATCTATATATGAAAGCAGCTATTATTGCACAATGCTGTCATGGTGGAGTCCTGGCTCCAAAGTCCCAGTCATTTATTTTGCAGTTAATAGATGCCTTTCTCAAGGGAAGAAAAGGACTCTCTCTCCTTTTCACCATGATGAAGAAACTACTTCCTCATTCTTTTTCCATTATCTCAGTTGCATGCTACTTATTATAGCTAAGAATTCTTTTGTAGCTGAACTTCTCCGTGTTCATGAAAACTATGTCTGTTTTCACATTGAGAGATGCACAAGTCATTTATATCCTAAAAAGTATGCAACAACTCATGGTCTCTGTTGTTTGTGTGTAAGGGAACAAATTAACCCTAACTGTACAGTCATCAGGATGGGGAATTTTTGCTGATGCAAGCAACAATTTAAACTGTCAAAAGTAAAGTTAAGCGGGGTACTGGAGTGCATGCCTGTAATCCCAGTGGCTCAAGAGATTAAGACAGGAAGATTGCAAGTTCAAAATCAGCCTAAGCAACTTAGCAAGGCCCTAGGTAACTTAGTACGACTCTGTCTCAAAATAAAAAATAAAAGGACTGGGAATGTGGCTTAGTGGTTATGGGTCCCTGAGTTCATCCCTAGTACCAAAAAAAATAAAGTTCATATCTGATTTTACATTCTCTTTGTAGGAAAATAACAACAAAAAGGAAGTATGGTTTAGGCCACACACTCCTGAAATCTTAGCTGGGACTTCCCTTTCCGTTATCCTAATCGTTATCTTCAGCCATCTTTGTTCATCGAATGGGCACTTGACCCTGAGAACTAGGCCCACATCTGAGATACCAGCATCACCTCTCTGTAGATGTTTTTCCCTCTGAGTAAAACTAATGGCTAACATTTATTAAGCACTTAGTATTAGCCTAGCACAGTTCAAGGTTATCCATCCATTCATTAATTATGGGAGCCTTTTCTAGAGCACAGAGCTATGCTGACTCATACCACCTCATGAGTAGCAGGGAACGGGACCTATCCTGGCAAGCAGACAACTCAATGGACAATTGAAGCAGAAATTAATAAAAATGATAAACTAAATTGTTAGATATATTAACAGTCCTCAATTTATGATCTTGTTTGAAATCCACTGTGACCAAGTTTTCACAAGTGGCTCTGGGTACAGACATTTTATAATATTATAAGCCAAATTATATTTGGTTTGAATATGTGGTGTCTCCCAAAAGCTGTGATAATGCAAGTGTGATAATGTGTGATAATGCAAGACCAGTAAAAGGTGAAATGATTGTAGTAAGAGAGTAGTAACATATCAGTGGATAATCCACTGTTGTGGATTAACTGGGTGGTAACTGTAGGCAGATAGGATAGGGTTAGAGGAGGTAAGTCATTGTGGCCTGGCTTTAGGGTATATGTTTTGTCCCTGGTGAGCCATGCTCTCTCTGCTTACTGGCTGTCATGTCCTGAGCTGTTTTCCTCTACCACATACTTCTGCCATGATGTTCTGCCTCAACTTGGACCCAGAGCTATGGAGTCAGCCCACCATAGACTGAAACTCTGAAACCATGAAACAAAATAAACTTTTCCTCTTCTACATTGTTCTTGTCAGGACTTTTGGTGATAGCAGTGAAAAGCTGACTAAAATAAGGTAATTTTTCACTGCATAAGTGGTACTGAAATCCAAGTTTGACCTATTAAATACAGACTCCTAGGCCCGATCTCTAGTGTTGATAAAATAATTTGCATGTAGGACCCAAACCTAATTGTTAAAAGTCCTTAATACAAGTGGTCTGCATTAGGGTTCCCTAGAGGAACAGAATCAACAGAAAATATAAATATAAAAAGTGGATTTATTAGGTTGGCTTATGCAACCAGAAGCTGGATAGTCCACAATGGCCATCTGCAAGCTGGAGAGCTGGAAGAACCAGTAGCTATAGTCCAAGAGGCTGAAGCCTCAAAAGAAGAGGGATCAATGATGCTACCCTAGTCTGAGACTGAAGGCTTCTAGAGAATCACTGGCAGAGTGCACTTTGAAAGAGTGAAGAAGTGAGAGTCTGA